AATAAAAGTAAATAACTATAAGTAGTGTTACAAAACCATACCAAGATTTTATGGTTTTTCTCTCCCCTTTGTTAGCTTGCCAGTATGCATAAAAGGCGTAAGAATGATGATATTCCCAGGTTCGTTTAAAGCTCATATTACACACAACACATGTGTTCATATGTCCATACAAACTCACACATTCAGAGCCACATTAAGGACTAATGGCTCCTTTTGGAAAGCATAGATACAAAGTACGTTGAGTTGGAAAAAGTTGAAATCAAGAGAACTTGGAATTAGATGTGGGAAGTAGTGGAGAAGGAGTAGTCCAAGATGACTCTCAGTTTCCTGCTACTGGAGAGATGAAATATAATGAGTACCATTTTAGACACGTAACTTGAGCTACTGGCGGGACACCCAGATGCAGATATACAATGGGCACATCATGATGTGTCTGGAGCTCAAGAAAAGTTAGAACTGGATACAGACTTGGAAGACATCAGCAGGTTTTTAGTAGGTAAAATCCTAAAAATGACATCAGAGAGAGAAGAGAAGAATATGATGAACACTGTTGGTTGTCCACCCAATCACCGTCTCCCCATCTTCCTTACTGACAGAACCCTGACTTCATTCAGAAGGAAATATGTCTTGAATTGGCTTAGACCAACTGGACTCAAAGAATGAGTCCAACTGGTCTGAGCCAATCATGGTCATTCTGTCCTCCCATGACTAAGTCACGTTGAGTTAGTCCTGCCTAATGAGATGTCTGCTGGGGGCAATTTCTGGGAAAGATTTTCTACTCTGATAAAAGAGCCATGTAGAAGAAAGTTTTTTTTTTCTTCCTTCCTTCCTGCATGAGACATGTTCTATGAGGATGTAGAGCTTGGAACTGTGCTAACCAACTTGCACTTGGGAAGACACAGCCACACGCTGAGGATGGCAGAATGGAAGGAGAAATAGAGTCAGCATCTCTGATGACATTGTTGCACTAAGAATCTACTTACTGCCAGACTTTAAGACCACAAGAAACATTATTGCAATTTTATTCTTTTTATTTTTGGCCGCGTCGGGTCTTCGGTGCTGTGCGCGGGCTTTCTCTAGTTGTGGCGAGTGGGGGCTACTCTTCGTTATGGTGCGCGGGTTTCTCATTGCAGTGGCTTCTCTTGTTGCAGAGCACAGGCTCTAGGCATGCGGGCTTCAGTAGTTGTGGCGCACAGGCTTAGTTGTTCCAGGGCATGTGGGATCTTCCCAGACCAGGGCTCGAACCCATGTCCCCTGCACTGGCAGGCGGATTCTTGACCACTGCACCACCAGGGAAGTCCCATTATTGTGATTTTAAATCATTTACATTTGGTTTGCTATTACTTACAGCCAAACTCAGCCTAATTGAGCACCACAGAATACAGACACAGATACAGAGCACTGCAGAAAAACGGAGAGAAAAGGAAAAAACCTGTTCTCTTGTTTGTTTCACACTGTTCTTTCCAGTTGCCATTACTTTCCTAGGTTTTCTGTACCCCAAGTCTGGCTAGAGTAAGACTAGGTATCAATATTTTAAGAAATAGAGAAATATAAAACACTGAGCAAGCAATACCAATTCAAGAAATCTTAAAAAGCATAATAGCTGCTCAGTCTTTAACAGTGAAATATTGAATCATTCTAGAAATGGCCTCAAGTATTATTCTAACAGGGTCAGCTATGCATATCCCTTACTCCCTACTCCCCAGCTGCATAAACAGTGAGAAGGTCACCATGATGAGCTTCAACAATCCTAGCACTGAACTTGTTGGAGCCTATTTCTTTAATATAGTCTTATACATCAGTCTCCAAATTGATGAGTGTAGAGCCACATCACCCGTAAGTCCAAGTTATGGAAGGAAAAGGGAAAGGATATTTCCCTAACCCTCCCCCCAATTAAATCATCCCTCTGATGCTTACATATACCTACACTTGAACTTTTGGGGGATGATGGAAATAGTTGGGATAACAGTAAGTACCGTGTTGGATGTAAAATATGCTTGTGTATCTATACCTATTCCTTGATTGTGTGGTGGTTTCATGACCATATACATTTGTCAAAATTGTCCTCTTGAGTCTTGGCCAATGTTGGCTTGTCAATATCTCTCATAAAACTTGTTACCCAGAAATTGGTATACTATTCAGGATATGGCCAGCCCAGCACAGCTTAGAGTGGGACCTTGTCCTTCCAATTTTAGACACCATGCTGTTTTTAGAAAGTGACATTAGCTTTTTGAAAGCAAGTGACATTGTTGATTCATATAGGGTTTGTAGGCAACAAAGACCTATAGGTTCTCATCCTAAATTCAAAACTTTAAATATATCCCTGTTCAGTTTTAATCTTATTTGGCCCCAGATCTTTCTAGATTGTTCCAGATTCTGATTTATTTTTTTATACACTGACTCTTCCTCTTAGTTTTGTGACATCTGTAATTTGGTGAGCATGTTTTCATTTTGTACATAGTATATCATAGAGTATAAAAAATAGGTTACAAACATTTTTGCAAGAGTGCCTGAACTACAGTGACCAAGGGGAGAGTGGTATGAGCTGAAGCTATAAAAGTAGGCAAAGGCTAGGCCCTGCAGGAGTTGTAAGACTTTAGCCTCAGAGCAATGGGAAGCCATTCAAGCCACAAGATGGATACTTTGCTAGATGAGTTGAGAATTGTTAAACCTATTTAGCTTTTTTTCCATATTTTGTGCCCTACAAAATAGTTCTTCAAATATCCAAAGAATTTAGAAAAGGGTGCAGAGTCAGCCCATGTTGCTCCAGAGAACAAGGACCAATGAGCAAGAGGCTTATTTGAGCTCTTTTTTTTTTCTTTAATTTTCATAATAATCAGCAGTTGTCTAAAAACAGGACAGGTGAAGCAGCTCCCTGACCCAAGCAGTATTCCTGCAAAGATGCAATGCACACATGGGATCTGTAGAATACTCTAGCACTGGGTGGTGGACAAGATGACTTCTCAATCTGCAACCCATTTGATCACTAAGATTCTATAAAGACCAAGAGAACTCCTTTCACTTTTCTGAAACTGTACATGAGCCACTTTCTTACTCATTAACCAAAAATGTTCTGCCCAGCTGCTAGATTTAACCATTAGGCAAGGATTCATGGCACTAGACAAAGAGTCCAAGTTTTTCACTTAAATAATGATCAGTTGTCCTATTTTAAACATATTTGTATACTACTAGTGTGTCAAAATATATAAATCCAGAAACCCCAGCATGGCTCCCTCCTGAACACCCTGTTTGGAAACAAAGAGGAGAGCTGCCCCAATGGCTTCATGCCCAGCTGAGCACCCAAATGGTGAAGCAAACCTGGCAAAAATGGGCCCACACACAGCTCCACCTCTCTATCCACCACCTCTCTGGCACCTAGGGAAGTGGAACCCTAACACATAGAGTGCCAAAAGCATTTCCCAAACCTCTTCATGAAACTGTGGACTAGCCAAACTGGGGAAATTTTTGAAAGAAAAGTTTTAGGACAGAAATAAAAGGAATGATGTGTGTCTAGGGACTCAGGAGGTCTGGACCTGCCCCCATTGTCCCTTCCTTGGTTAGGCATACACCCAGCTGATAAGGTCTAATCAAAAATATACATCAAAAAGGAGCCATCCCGAAAACAGTATGGCGGTTCCTCAAAAAATTAAAAATAGAGTTACTGTATAATCCAGTAATACCATTTCAAGTTATATACCCAAAGAATTGAAAGCAGAGGCTCAAACAGATAATTGTACACTCATGTTCAAAGCAACATTATTCACCATAGCCAAAAGGTAGAAGTAACCCAAATGTCCGTGACAGATGAATGCATGAACAAAATGTAGTATATACATACAATGGAATATTATTCGGCCTTAGAAAGGAAGGAAATTCTGTCATATGCTACAACATGGATGAACCTTGAGGACTTAATGCTAAGTGAAGTAAGTCAGCCACAAAAAGGCAAATACTGTATGATTCCTCTTAAATGAGGTTCCCAGAGTAGTCAAAATCATAGACAGAAAGTAGAATGGTGGTTGCCAGGGCCTGGGGGGAGAAGGCAACAGGGAGTTAGTGTTTAATGGGTACAGAGTTTCTGTTTAGGAGGATGCGAAAGCTCAGGAGACAGACGATGGTGTTGACCTGAAATAGACTGCCAGATAGTTTCCCAGCAGAGATGGGTTTCTTCAGGGTCAGCAGAGAATTGCAATTTGGGATCTGCAACCATGACGAGCCACACTGAAGTCGAGGGAAGAAGGAAAATGCTTTTACAGAGGGGGAAACGGAAGTTGGGAGAGCTGTAATAAACAAAGGGTCCCTGGCTTTTCATTGGCGAGTCCTTGCCAGGAAGCAGGAGTCTTTCTTCTTATGACTGGGCTCCCTGTGGTCGCAGAATATGAGAACTCCCCCTTCTGATCTCCCTACTCTATTTGAGGTACCTGTTTGATTTTTTACAGTGGTGATGATTGTACAGCATTGTAAATGTACATAATGACACTGAACTGTACACTTAAAAATGGCTTAAATGGTAAACTTTGTTTTGTATATCTTAGCACACTGAAAAACATAAAAGGAGACACGCTGCAGTACTAAAAACTAAGATCCTTTAGCTTCAGAGACCCATAACAAGTGGAGATGTACACTCATGTGGAGTCGCCAACTTCATCATTTTGGTTTTATCTTATTTTTATGTGAACCTTAGCATCTAAGGGGGCTGGGGAGGCGTTGTCTATGGGGCCCGGGGGCTCCCCCATCGCCCATCCCCGCCGCCTTCAGCGTAAGTGACAGCACAACGGCGCAGAAACCGCATCCTTAAAAGGGGGGCTTCTCCCACCCAACCAGCCGCCCTCAGTGCCAACTGCCCGTTCAACTGTACGTTCTTCCAATCAAAGGGCCCCCTGGGTGATTTGACTGGCAGAGCCAACCACAACGCGTCTACTTCCTTTTGTCCCGACCTCCCCTGCTTCCGACTGGCGGGTTTCAAACCAACGGGAGCCAATGAGAGTGGGCGCACGCCCGACGCGCCTGCCTTGACTGCAGGCGCGGCCTTTTGAAGAAGAACTGTAGCTGGGGAGTCATGGTGCTGCCGGGGCCCTCCGCCGCCGCGGGTGAGTATGATTTCCAGCCGCTGTGTCTTACGGGCGGGGACGAAGGAAGGCCCCCGAGTGAGTCCTTTAGGCGGAAGTGGCCGGTCCGCTCGCCTGCCTGCCTCTGCCTCCCCGTCGGCGTTTCCGGTCCAGGGGGCGCTGACCCTAGCCCAGGCCCTAGGCCCCGGTGAGAAGTCGGGGCCGGGGGTCGGGGAGGGTGTGCGCGGGGCCATGTGCCTCCCAGGCATCTTCCCAGTGACTCCCGCAGCAGCTCTGCAGAAAGCTGTCATTGTCACCTCGTTTGGGTAAAGAACCTGAGGCCCCTTGCCCGGGGTGGCACAGTCAGTAGGAAGCTAGGCGCTCCTGCGGCCCATATTTGGCTCCAGGCGGAGCCCGGGTGTGGCCCTCGGGGCAGCGCCGGCCGCCCGAGTTGTGACAGCTGTCAAGGAGGGTCTCACCCCGACGCGGAGCTCATCTCCTCGCAAGCCCGCGCGCCCTGGTGGAAGCTGATGGGTTAAAAGTGCGCGGAGGCTGAAGGGCTCCCCGACCTCTTAGATGTGCCTGGAGCCCTTTGCTGACTTTCCGCATACTCCTAATCAGGTACCTGCCACCTGCTCCAAAATGCGTGAGTGTTTTGTTGGTTCCGGTAATAATGCATGTTGACTGTTCTAGGCACTTTACACAACAGCCTTTCAAGATGGGCATTTCTGCCCCATTTTAAAGGCTCAGCAGCAGCAAGGCTTGGTAACTCGCTAGAAGTCACAGAGCTGGGATTCCAGCCCCGCCTCTCAGTCTCCAACAGTCCTCTTGACACAGCTGTCTCCTAGGGATGCATCAGAGCCAGATATCAAAATACAGGGCATAAATACACTACCACGTGGAAAATAGATAGCTCCTGCTCTGTGATGGCCTAGTTGGGTGGGATGGGGCGGGGGGGCGGCCCAAGAGGGAGGGGATGTGTGTATGCGAATGACTGATTCACTTGGCTCTGCGGCAGAAGCTAACACAACGTTGTAAGGCAATTATACTCCAAAAACGAAAAACAATAAAACCCCAAAAGACACAGGGCAACTCAGTTTAAATGAGGTTGAGTTGTTTTGCACCCCTATTTTTTTTTAAACCATTACTGAATTTTAGCCTTTTCCAACCACCCAGTCCCCTCACTCAGTCTCTGCCTCTGGACTCCCATAGTTCTTTCTTTGACCCTATTTTATGGCACTTAGATTTTGCCTTATATTGTAATTATTATTGTGTTTATTTTATCTCCACTACTAGATTGAAACTTCTTGAAGATGGAAATACTGACTTTTCATTCCCTCACAGATGCCTTGCTTAGAAAGTCACCATATGGATAGATGTTTGCCATGAACCCCCTAACCTGGCCTATTTTGTCCTTAGTACCAAAGGAAACCGTGTAAAGGTTTGGGGTCAAAAGTCATCATTCCTGTTAGAAGGGATTAATAAAACAAGGCCCGGGCTTGCCAGCTTAGGTGGGCCAGTAACAGAATCTCTTCAAGCAAAGTTTGATGTGTTGGGAGCTGAGAACGGTGGCTGTGAGCAAGGGCTTTGGGTTTGGATAAACCTGGTTTCAAATCCTGGCTTAGCCACATGTTATCTGGGCATATCATTTATCCTCTTTAAATTTCGGACTGTAAAATACTTCATAGGATTGCAGTGGCGATGAAAGGAAGTGTGTGTGACGAGCTTTGTACGTGGCATATAAATGATATTGTTGATGTTAACGTTAACCTGGAGGCACATTTGTAGGGCTAGGGACTTTATAGCTTTATGGTCCAAAGCCAGAATCATTACAGAAAGGTGTCATCTTTTAGAATAGAAATGAACTGGTTAGAATCTCACACGTTTGTTTGCTCGCCTGTTTTGCAGAAGAGCGGCAGAGAAAGCTCCAGGAGTACCTAGCAGCCAAGGGAAAACTGAAGTGCCAAAACACCAAGTGAGTTTGTCTCCCACGGTTATGCAAGTTTGCCCTGGTTGCTAATAGCAACTTAAAGCCTTTTCAAAACATAGCCCTTTTGTTTGCAGTCTACTCAGACTTGCCTTGGGATCCTATGATTATTCCAAAAGGGCATTTCCAGGCAAGCCATGACAAAAATGTTGGCAAAGATTTAAACATTACCACTGTGACAGTCTCCAAAGGCGGGAGAGGAGGGTCTACAATATCACCTGCAATGCTGCAAGCTTTTCCTGTCCCTACTGCGTTTCCTGGGAGAGTGATTCTTGTGAAGGCAATGTTTGGCCGAGGAGTTGAGTGACCCTGGTTCTGGTGCTTCTCTCTAAAGCAGGAGAGCCGGTTCAATCCATCCTCCATAAGCTGCACACCCACATCCTCCAGCCTGACAGTGCTCTTTGGTCTTCCTCTTAGCACTTACTCTTGAGGTAAACAGAATATGACTGCTTCACTTTGACCTTTTGTCAATATCTTGTCATCTAAATGGTGTTATCTCACTTGCCTTAGCATTGATATGTTTTTCTACCCAACATGTTGCTAAATTTTTATTTGAAAACCAATTTTTACAAAGTTAGCTTTCACCCTTTGTTTTAGTTTCTTTTTACTTTGGGTTTTTACTCGACTCTATTTCATTGATTAAATAAACCTAATTCATGTAGTCAACATATATTTATTTAATACCTATAATGTATCAGTCACTCTTGCTTCTGAAGGTATGCGCTCCCTGCCTTCCCAGGACTTACGTACATCCAAGATGGGAGAAACAAGCATCAAGTCATGATCAAAGTCCCTGTTAGTCTTGTCAGTTTATGATCTGTGAAGACTGAGTCTAAATTCTCTGTTTTTCTCTTTTTGTTGCATTTTATCTCTCACTAGCTAGATTTCATATGTGCCTCAGTATTTTTTATTTATATCACTTTCCCCACCTGAAAATTCACTATGTGAAGATACTTGAAAAACAAGCAAGTTTTTTCTTACTTATAGTTGATTTAATATAAATGAATTTATTTACAAAACAGAAACAGATTCACAGTCATTGAAAACAAGCAAGCTTTTTAAAGAAGCATTTTATTATCTTATTTGGCATTGAATCTCTAGTGCCTGGCACATTGCAGTGTTCCCGGAATGATGTTCCAATGAGTAAGACTATGCAGATATGAAGAAAACACATATTTTATTAATACTGTTAGAATGTTATGTTTATGCATAGGACATCTATGAAAGGATCACAGAAAAAAACGGGCAACAGTGCTTGTGGTCGCTGAGGAGTAGAATAATAGGACTGAGGAAGGGATGATAAGGAGACTTTCTATCAATCATAATTTTTGAATTTTTTTTTACCGTATATGGAAATTCTAATGCTTTAAAATTCTAACCGTAAAAATTTTTAATCGCTGTACTTCCCAAGCCTTGCTGATGCTTCTGCACCAAGAATTAATCTTATTTCATCTTTTATAGGCCTTATCTAAAAGCCAAGAATAATTGCCCGAATCCACCACCTTCTAAATCTGTAAGTAGAAATTAGTCTTTTAAAAAATATCCGTTTTGGATGATTAGCAATAAAAATAACAAACATGTTAACAACCTAAAGAACATGTTTTTCAAAGGTATTTACATAAATATAAGAACAGTTTGGTTTAGTAAGCAATAGTATCATTTTTTGAAAAGTACAACATACTATAGTTCAGTTTATTAACCAAAAAAAATCTTTAAGTGCACTTTTGTCCTCTTAACGTTTATTGAATACTTACTATGTGTCTGGAACTTTTCTGACTTGCATTAACTCCTTGAGTCCTTACAACCTTATGAGGTAGGACTATTAGTAGCCCATTTTACAGATGAGGGAACTGAGTCACAGAAGGGTTAAGTTCCCAAGGTCACATAGTTATTAATCTCTTAATAGGTTGATAGGCTGAGAGCCCATGGTCTTAACTACTTTGGTATGCTGCCATGAAGTTAAATAGCTCAGTAGTCATTAAAAGAGAACATCTGTGTTGGATCTTCCAAGGTACTTAACAAACCTGTGCTTCCCAATCAGTTCGGTTCAGCTAGACTGTGGATGGAATGATAAAAAGATCCTAACATACTTAAGGTTTTAAAATGGGAGAAATTATCCTCCTGAAAATGGCACAAATTGTTCATCTGCAATAAAATAATCAATAAAAATCCCAACTTTAATTTTTAAAACCATAGTTTTATCTAAGTTCAAGTGTAATTGAAATAATGTTGCCCAAAGTGTGACACTGGTGCCAGTTTTCCTAAGTTTTAATGATTTGTTCATTAAATGTACACAGACACACACACATATACATGTACACCTATATGCATAGGCATGTATATATCATGTATAGATTATGCGTGTTATGTGTACACGTGGCGTCATTAGACACTGTGGAGGATAGAAATGCATAGAAAGCAAAAGTGGCGCGTCATGATGTGAACAGTTGAGAATTACTGGGCTAGACTTTTTTTTTTTTTATATTTGTCTTTTATTTATTTATTTTTGACTGTGTTGGGCCTTCATTGCTGCGCGGGCTTTCTCTAGTTGCGGAGAATGGGGGTCACTCTTCATTGTAGTGCGTGGACTTCTCCTTGAGGTGGCTTCTCTTGTCGCAGAGCAGGGCTCTAGGCGCGCAGGCTTCAGTAGTTGTGTCATGTGGGCTCAGTAGTTGTAGCTCACGGGCTCTAGAGCACAGGCTCAGTAGTTGTGGCGCACGGACTTGGTTGCTCTGCGGCATGTGGGATCTTCCCGGACCAGGGAATGAAGCCGTGTCCCCTGCATTGGCAGGTGAATTCTTCACCACTGCACCACCAGGGAAGCCCCTGGGTTAGACTTCTGCTTTAGGAAGATTGAACTGGTATAGCATGCAAGGCTTAAAAACTCTGTTGGAAGGGGCCCTCATTAAGAGCTCCCAGAAGGTTCGCTCGAAGCTGACAATACTGATTTCAGTAAATCATCTCTTAAATGAGGTGATACCTACCCTTTACGGTAGATATCACAGTAGCGAAGATAAAAATGAAGTGGGGAAGGCAATTATGGAACTTGGGAGAAACTCAACGTACTAGGCAAATAACTCATCATTACAATTGTATAAGGCTTCACAATTTATAAAACATTTTTTATATATAACCGTAAGAGTTAACATTTGAGTACTTATTATTATCCAGATACTGGATGAGACACCTTACATACAATATCTCAGTTAATATTCAAAACAACGCTATAAGCAGGGTGGTCATATGATTTAATGTCCAGAGACCTTTGAGAGTAAAAGGAAGTGCTATTAATATGTTGGGCCAACAGGCATAAATCAAAACTATCTTGCAAAAGCCAGGACTTTATAGCACCTTCCCTAGATTATAGATATTATTATTATTATTCCCATTTTACAAATGAGAGGACTGAGGCTTAAGGAGATTGGCCACATTTATACAGCCAGTAAGGACCTGAACAAAGCTTTTCTGGCATACTCTTAGTGTACTGTTACCATGCCTCACTTTTTGAAATTAACAGCCTCACCATAACTGTTTCAGGTTTCATTCTGGCACACAAAGGAACACACAAAAGAAGTTTTTCATTTTCTGTTCCTATCAGGAGTTTTAACATATTTGAAAAGATTCCTTGGAGCCATCCTCTTGGATTTATTGAGAAACAGTAATGTATAATAGTTAAGAAACTGCCTTGATCCAAATCCTGACTCCTTTGTTTTCTAGCTCAGGGACCTTGGGCAAGTTATTTAACTTCATCTGTGAGATGGGAATAATAGGAGGTTTCTCATAGAGTTGTTTGAAAGGATTGAGTTAATGCAGATTGAAGTACATTTAGAAGTGTCTGCATATTGGGATATATGTTCCTCTGGAGGTGCATAAAGCATCTCCAGCAGGTACACATTTTAACAGAACCAATTTCCACATCTTCAGCTTCCGTATGTGCTTTTGCCCAAAATTGATTTGTCGTCGAATGTGCTTCAGTTTCTCCTTTCTCACCTCCCTTGACACTCCTTGTCATCCTTCTTCCACTTTTCAGTTCTTTCTCTGCTTGTTTTGCCCAGGGATGGAAATATGTACCTCCAAAGTACAAAATCAAGGGACAATTTGAAATAATGGTGGTGATGTTCAGAAAGCCTTTTGCAGTTCAAGCAGCTTCCAGTTCTTTGCATTCAACATTGTCATGTGGAAGAACATTAAAAATAATTTTTTGCTGAGAGATCACTGCATGACTTCTAGCATATGCCTCTGGATGAGTTCAAAGAATTGACTGTAATTGCAAGAAGAACAAAACATCTTCTATTCCCATCTACTTGATAATGTGAACAAATTTTCTGTGTTTTTATTTAAAAAGCCAAAGGAATAAAACTGAAGACCTCTGTCTCATTCTAGCAATAAATAATATAATGTCTTCCAGTGAATACATGAACTAATTGTGGGGGGAAGAAGCTCCAGCCATCTCACTAAGAGATATTTCCATTTCTTTATGAAAAAGTATTTTACTCTTTATATTTAATAATTATTGATCAAAATTGGTAACATTTATCTTCTTTTGCTGAATTATTTATAGTTATGGTAAATACAGATTAAGGTAAACTTATAGACATATATTTGTTGAGAAGCATGATAGGGTAATGGATTATAAACTTCCAAGCACAAATATCTAGTATAAAAATTTTGTGGTGAACTGGAATGAGAACAGACCAGGAGAAACAAGAAAGGTATTATATTTTCAGTTGTTAAAGAAGAGTATGCTTCTATAGTTTTTAAATGGATTGTAGTGGGTATCAAATTTCATTTCATCTTGAAATGTCGGTATTGACAGTGTGCCTGAAATTACACATTTGCAGCTGTTTAAACTAACGATGAAAAATGTTAGCTATTAACTTTTAAAAGTATAGGAAGGCACAGAGTTTGTCAAAATTATTTTGGGAGTATATGAACAAAAATGCTTGAAAACCACCAATCGGATGAGCTCTACAATCCCTCCCAGCCCTATTACAGCCCTCATGTCTTCATATCATAATTTTCTGTTAGCACTCCTCAGGGGCATGTGTCATCTTCTGTCATCTTTGTATCCCCTTGCAGTCTAGCACAGTGCCTAGTACAGATGCAGTAAATCTCTCCTGATTTAAACCCTAGTCATATCCTTTGTGAATTTTCTCCCTTCTCTGGCTTCATATGTACAGAATGAAGTGACCAAATTCAGTTTGTGTCACTTGTTCCTTCTTGTACATTCTGTCTTTGTTTTTTTTTTTAATCAGATCTATCTGACGTGAGTTGTCTGAGGCCAGGAGTCAGAGACTGAAGTTCTATCCCCAACCCTGCCTCTTAACACCCTGCCTGACCTTGGGCAGCTCACGTTCCCTCTCAGATGAAGGGGCTCAATTTAATGATCTCCAAAATCCCTTCCAGCTCGAATGGTGTGTATTTGCCTATTGATTGCAGGCTATTCTGCTAGCCTAATGACTCTTCTAAGCCTAGTTTTTCTCTTAATGAAGTACTTGAAACTAACTGCATGACCAGTTCTACCACTTACAGTAAGTTAGCAAGGCCAGGCTGATCTAAAATAAAGATATAAAAACTGTACAAGAGAGAAAATATTTGCAAATCTTATATATGATAAAGATCTAGGACCCAGGATAAATAAAGCACTCTTACAACTCAACAATAAAAAGACAGCCCAATTTCTAAATGGACAAAGGATCTGAATAGAAATTTGTCCAAAGAAAGTATACAAATGGGAAATAAGGACATGAAAAGATGCTCATAGGGAAATGCAAATAAAAATCACAGTGAGATACCACTTCACACCCACTAGGATGGTTATAATCAAAAAGACAGATAATATGTGTTGGGGAGGATATGGAGAAATTAGAAACCTTATGCATTACTGGTGGGAATGTAAAATGGTGCAGTACCTTTGGAAAATAGTTTGACAGTTCCTCAGAAGTTAATCATAGAGCTACCATATGACCCAGCCATTCCACTCCTAGATATATACCCAAGACAGTTGAAAACAGATATACACAAACACACAAAACTTATAGCAAATATATTCATAGCAACATTATTCATAATAGCCAGAAGGTGGAAATGACCCAGATGTCCATCAATTGAATAGATAACCAAAATGTGATATAGCCATAAAATGGAATATTTATTCAGCCATAAAAAGTAGTGATGTGCCTGTGTGGGGACAAGGAATATATGGGAAGTCTCTGTACTTCCACTCAATTTTGCTTTGAACTAAAACTGCTCTGAAAATGAAGTGGGTTTGTTTGGGGTTTTTTGGTTTTTTTTGTTTTTTTTGTTTTTTGTTTTTTTTGGTTTTTTTTTTTTTGCGGTATGCAGGCCTCTCACTGTTGTGGACTCTCCCGTTGCGGAGCACAGGCTCCAGACGCGCAGGCTCAGCGGCCATGGCTCACGGGCCCAGCCGCTCCACAGCATGTGGGATCTTCCCAGACCGGGGCATGAACCCGTGTCCCATGCATCGGCAGGCGGACTCTCAACCACTGTGCCACCAGGGAAGCCCTAAAGTTTATTATTTAAAAAATAGAGTAATGAAAAAAAAAAAAAAATAGAGTAATGAAGTGCTGATACATGCCACAACACGGGTGAATCTCAAAAACATGCTAAGTGGAAGAGGCCAGATTCGAAAGGCCACATATTATATGATTCCATTTATATGTAATGTCCAGAATAGGCAAATTTATAGAGACAGAAAATAGATTACTGGTTGCCCAGATCCGTGGGGAGGAGGAAATGGGGAGTGACTTCTAACAAATGTGGGATTTCTTTCTGCAGTGATGAAAATGTTCTGGAATTAGTGGCGATGGTTGTACAGTCTTGTGAATATACTAAAACCCACTGAATTGTACGCTTTAAAATGGTGAATGGGGTACAAATTATATGTCGTTTTTTTTTTTAATATACAAAAAAGAACGAGTAAGGAATAGCACATAATTGGAAAGTTTATACCAACATCCCTGCCTCTTCAGTAAGCAGTAATGAGCAATAATGGGGAGAGCCGAGGTTGATGTAAATGTTGGGGCTCAAGGAGTAACCCAGCTGCGGCCGCGTGAGCACACCGTCTGTCTCTCTGCCTCCCGCCCCCAGCGCTCCCCTAGAGTACCCATGAGCAACAGTGCACATGCCCAGGCCATCCTAGGGTGGCCATCTCTTTGCCCTTAAGGACAAGTGGTTCTAGTTACAGATGTCCTTTACACGTTCACAAAGCTTACATAGTAATTATTCATCATATTATCAAACCAAAAATAGAGAACAGTAACTCTAGCACTGCCATATCTCCCTGGATAGTCTACAAATCTCTGCCAATTCTCCTTTCTGAGTAACTGCGTTAAATGCAGACGCTCCAGAATCCACAGTGGCCTGTCCCTGTTATTTACCATATTAATTCTAAACACCCCTCCCTAGTCCTACCTTTCTTATCCAAAATTAAATCACATGACTGAAATATTTACTTGTTAATAATGTACAATCTAACCTTAAAACCCTTTCCTGACTTCACAAATATGACTGACTTTCTGCTGAGATGTTAGGTACTTATTCAGAACTGTTCCAGAGTATCTCAGGACTCCCAGCATATCCATACCACTGATCTCCAGGATGAGACAAAGTTTCTTGAGTGACACTCTGACCTTTACAAAGGCAGTGTTGTTTTAAGAAAATTAGTGTAGCAATACAAAGTACTAGGAGGAACTTGGGAGGTACCCTAACATAAGTCTATTATGTATGTATCTTTCCAGAGTCCCTAGAATGACACTTCACTTGGATATAATAGGCATTCAGCAAGTACTTGTTTGATGGAGCCAAATTTATTTTTTTAAACAGCAATTTTTATGTGTTCACTGCATCTCTGCTGAATTCTATCAAGCTAAAAAATTCTAATGTATTTCTAATAGGAACTCCAGTTATAAAAATCATCTATTAGTGAGTCTTTTATTTTCTCAGGATTCAATTCTCTTAAATGAAATTATAAACAAAATAACTAGTTTTTTTTATTTTAAAAACAGTGGACTGTTGTTATGAGTTTACTTTTTTTATATCTTTCTCTGTCTTTTTAGACTATCAGACCTAAAAAGGATGTTACCAACCATGTTGCTTTGCCTGTCAAAGCTACAAGACCCATCAGCATTAAACCTCAGTCCAGACCTGCCAGCATCACAGGGTCCCAGAGGCCAAAGTTGGAGCCACCAAAACCTCTGGGCAAAAAAAGGCTCACTTCAGAATGTGTTCCTTCTCACCCAAACCGTAAGCCTTCCGGAAGTAGTCAACAACACCATGAATTTGGATCATCCACTACTGGAGAACTGTCAAGAAAAACCATGGGGTCACTTAATATACAGGAATTGAAAACTAAAAAGCAGCAGGTAACACAACAAGGAACTGCTAAATGTACAGACTCTGTGGACAGTACCCATGTTGAAAACGAATCCTTGGGTAGCTGTCTAAAAGAGATGAATAAAGAGAACTTGCCCCAAATCTTACCAGACTCTGAGAGGAAGCCAAATCCTGAATTAGACACCGTAAGTAAGCCAAAAACTAATCAAACCAAGAGCAGTGTGGCTCCTACTAAAGAAGTCTTGGGCAAAAGGTCAGTGAACAGTGCTGTTCTGAAAGACAGAGTTAATAAACCATTTCTTGAAGAAACACAAATCAGGATTCCACCAGAGAAGTCTCAGCAACTCTCTAGAGGAACAGATCTTGCAAGACCAGGGGGAAAACCCCCAAAAACAGTTTCCTCTCACTTTGTCCAGACACTTAACAGGACTCAAGCATCAAAGAAAACAGTGGTTAAGGACATAAAGAATATAAAGGTTAATAGGGGTAAGTATGAAAGATCAAATGAAACTAAGTTACAGTCATGCACTGTTACTGAACAGAAAGTAAAACATAGCAAACCCAGCACATACCCCAAAGTGCTTCAAAGAGGATGTAACAACAGACATCCAAACACAAAGCAAGATCATAAACCCACGCAAGCTTGTTGTAGACGTCGGACATCATATGTACTGCAAAAATCAAAAGCCATAAGCCAAAGGCCTAATTTGACAGTTGGCAGCTTTAACTCAGTCATTCCAAGCACCCCTAGCATAAGAGCAAATGGAGCCAAAGGGAATAAATGCAACAACAGCTGTCAACAAAAAGCACGGACTTTGGACTCCAAGTTGAAAAGGGCTCTTCCCCAGAACTGTTTTCTAAACAAGACAGCTCCCAGAACTCAAGCTGGTGGCACAACCGTAAATGGAAGAGGACTCCCAAATGGGACCCAAACTAATCCAAATAAGAAGACCACAGCAGAGGATCGAAGGTACTTTATTTTAATTCCAAAATTTTGCAAAGTAAGATGACTAGGCAAATTGACCATCAGGAGTGCTAAAGTCAGGAGATGGGTCATAAATAATGGCTCCTGAGTAATTTTTAGCTGTAACTCTGAAAAAAAGACAAAGCAAATATGAAGACTTGATAGAGCTGGGTGGTACATACATGTGTTCAAATTGTTCTCTGTAATTTTCTGTATGCTTGAAATAATTTATTTTTTAAAAAAGAAATTGAAACAGAATAGTTGAATAAGAAGTAGAGGTTGCAGAGGTAGACCATTCATGCAAGAAGTGCCCTGCAGGGACTGAACAGCAACAGAAGAGGCAGGGTAGGAGGAGCCAGAGTAGTGAACTTACACCGCTAGGAAGTGCGGAAATGGTAGTCCCTTGTCAAGCCAACTAATGTGAAATCCGAAAAGTTATCAGAGAAGAAGGAGCAGGAAACTTCTATGAGTCTGAGCAGACCAAGTTTTGGAAAGTACGCTAAGGCAGAGAGAAGTAATCAGTTCACATACAGAGTTCAGATGTTAGAAGTCAGGATCTCAGGCTGCTGGGAGTTAACATTAACATGTGTGATGCTTGCAACTGAGCCAAAGGATTTCATACACTTTCTGAACAGGACCAGACATATTCTGATGATGTGGTGAACCTCCCAGGAGAAGCACCTCTGTACACTTGATTGGAGTAGAAAATAAGGAGATTCCTGGCAAGGGCAAAAGGAACATGTAAAATTAGATGGTAGCTAAAAGGTATAGCAGAGTGAAGTGAGGGCAGGATTTATTCTCTGAATACAGCCCTGAACACCACTGACAAGCTCTCTGCCCTCCTGAAGAGACAGAAAATAACTTAATTCAGGGTGATGCGATTGAGAGAGGGAGGCTGGGATGACTTTAGATAGAAAGGTCAGGGGAGGTACTTTGAACAGTGACATCTGGACTGGGAAAAGGACAGTGACAGAGGGCTTCCCTGGTGGCGCAGTGGTTGAGAGTCCGCCTGCCGATGCAGGGGACACGGGTTCGTGCCCCGGACCGGGAAGATCCCACATGCCACGGAGCGGCTGGGCCCGTGAGCCATGGCCGCTGAGCCTGCGCGTCCAGAGCCTGTGCTCCGCAGCAGGAGAGGCCACAACAGTGAGAGGCCCGCGTACCGCAAAAAAAAAAAAAGGACAGTGACAGGAAGAAGGATGAGTCTTCTGAGCAAAAAGAAAACTGAATGCAAAGGCCTTGAGCTGGTGAATGAGGAGGTCAGGGTCCCTACCCTGGAGCTTTGCAGTGTAGACCAGATAACAGACGATGGATCCTAAGACAGGTTACAGTTGGGCCAAGTTTGATGACAAAAAATAGGAGGAGTCTGTGGAGAAGGATAGATCACTCTCATTCCTCGAGTGTTCCTTTAGCACCTACACTGGGAGATACAGTGATCAGCACACAGTCATTGTCTACTATTATGGAACATTTTTTCTGGTGTATATATGGAAAGTACTAGAATAATAAAGCCAGGTCCTAGGAATATGTTACCTTTAGAAAAAGCAAGTTCCCTCTTCATTTATGATTAGAAGCAAGGCTAAGGAGATAAGAAGAATGCCGTGAACATAGGGGAAACACATGCCAGATGACTCAGCTTCTATCATGAAGCCGGTGAAGGTAAAGGGGAAGCAGTTAGGGCTAATATAAGCACTGTGTGGACTGTGCTGAGAAATCAAGGGAGAAACAAGAGTTAATAGTTACTGATTTTCTCGGGGGCTTCCCTGGTGGCGCAATGGTTAAGAATCCGCCTGCCAGTGCAGGGGACACGGGTTCAAGTCCTGGTCTGGGAAGATCCCACATGCCACGGAGCCGCTAAGCCCATGCGCCACAACTACTGAGCCTGCACTCTAGAGCCCACGAGCCACAACTACTGAGCTCACGTGCCATGACTACTGAAGCCCGCATGCCTAGAGCCCCTGCTCTGCAACAAGAGAAGCCACCGCAGTGAGAAGCATGCGCACCACAACGAAGAGTAGCCCCCACTCAATGCAACTAGAGAAAGCCTGTGCGCAGCAGCGAAGACTCAATGCAGCCAAAAATAAATAAATAAAAATTTTTTTTTGATAGTTACTGATTTTCTGGAAAAAGCAAAGCTATAAGGACAGCAAAGCGGTCAGTGACTGCTGGGAGCTGGCATGGGTGGCAAGGTTGACCACCGAGGAACACAGGCATTTCTGAGGGTGTTATGTCTTGATTGGAGTCACAGTCACATGATTTCATGCATTTGTCAAAACTCACAGAACCGTGTACCAAAAAAGGTGAATTTTACTGTAATTAAACACGTGTTCTAAACACTATGCCAGGCACTGGGACATCCAAGGTTTCTGTCTTCATAGACCTTGGATTCTAGTGGAAAAGATAGAAAATCAACATGTTGATTAAGACAGAATAATTACAGAAAATTACCTCTTCAGGGAGTTATCATTGGAGCAGAGGACTGAAGACAGACAATACAAGACCCTGAGGGAGGAATGAGCTTGGGTTAAGTAACGGAAAAAATGCCAGAGCTCCTGGAAGGCAGTGAGGGAGGGAGAGAGTGGTGTAACATGAGGTTGTAGGCAGGAACCAACCTGCACTGCACCTCCGGCCACAGAGGACATTTTGAATTTTATTCCAAGAGCCATGGAAAGTGCCTGGCCGTGACTGGTTTACTTTATAAAGATCGCTAGCTGCTGTGCACAGGACGAATTTGAGAAGGGTTAGAGTGGAAGGAAGGGGGCTGCTGCCGCACTTCAGGCAGAAGGTGACAGTGATCTGGACAAGAATGGTGGTAGGGGAGATAGAACCAATACTGATTATGTGATGATGTGTTGGACGTGGGGAAAAGAAAGGACTACTCAAGACAACTCCTCGTTTTAGGCCCCAGCAACGGGGTAGATTGGGGCACTGTTTACCAATGTAGGGAAGGCTGTTTGGGAAAAGATTTGGAGATGAAAATCGAGAGCTTTGTTTTGAACAATATTAAATTTTAAATGCCTGCCAGACATCACATAAAAGTTATCAGTTAGGCACTGGAGTTTACAAAGTTTGGGACCCTAGAGAGTGATCTGGGCTGAAATGTATGTTTGTGAGTCATTAACATGTAGTTGTAATTTAAAGAAACTGAAGAGGCTACATTCAGATGCTTGGGCCTACGTGTCTTGGTGCCTCCTTCAACAGTGGTCTGTGGACTGCCTAGGAGCAGGAGTGGGGAGTGAACAGTGTGGGGAGAGCGAAGATTAGGACGTGGCACCATCAGAGACAGCGACTTAAGAAAAGAGCCCTGAAATTATTGATCTCGTTAGGGGAAGAGGGGGTCATGTGTGGTAAGAGAGGGCTAAGGAACTGGGCAAAGTGGGTCACTTTGAGTGGCCACGACCCTGCTGAGGGCAGAATACAGGTTTGGTGAGTCTGGTTGAGTGGCAGATACAAAGCTCATGATAAGAGAAATGGAGTGCTGAGTTAATGATCTCAGAGATGGAGGGATGTCTTAGGACAGCAATTGTCAGGAGTAGCATACAGGTAGAAATTTTCAGAGGAAAATATTGAAAAATAAACAGGAAATTAAGGAGTTTGAAGATTGAGATGCTAACCACCTGTTGTAATCCAACTAATCCATCTGGCATCTGCCTTCTGAAGGGTGGGGGCAACCAGTGCTTCCAATACCAATTGGTAAATTATTTTTAAAACATTCTCCTGACTTTCTAGTTGAAGGTGTTCAGTGATAATTTATGCATGTCATACTTTAGAAGCTTAACCATGTACCAAAAAAGACCCCTAAAACCATCCCCCTCTTTAATTGTATAACAGGAAACAGTTGGAAGAATGGCAGAAATCTAAGGGGAGGATCTATAAACGGCCTCCTATGGAACTTAAAACAAAAAGAAAAATAATAGAGGAAATGAATATTTCATTCTGGAAGAGTATGGAAAAAGAAGAGGAAGAAAAGAAAGCACAACTTGAACTATCCAGTAAAATTAACAACACTCTGACAGAATGTCTGCAGCTCATTGAAGGGGTGAGTGAACAGTAAGCTCCCAGCTTTGCTGAACCTTAGAGTTTTTTAAACATTTTTGCTAAATATAGTGTAGGGGAGATGACCTCTGTCTAAGCAGAAATTTAGCTCCTCCTTTTAATAGAGAGGAAGGATAGTAATAATAAAAAACATGTACTTAAATAATGACTCTTGGATGCCAGGTACCGTTCTAAGCACTTATATTATTTCATGCAGTTACATAACGACTGTTACGCTATTCACTTTACAAATGAAGCTGAGGCACAGAGAAGTTGGGAAATTAACCCGAGTAGTCTGGCTCCAGAGGGATTCAAAAGGAACTCTGCCTTCTTCATGTATTGAGGTCCAAAGAGTAAGCATTTGACATTTAGATATGAAGCTAAAGTCAAAAGGCAAGGCCTCGTGTAGAATTAGATTATCCTAACGTCTCTAGGTAGCTATGAACGGCATCTAAATTGTATCTTGGATTTGCAGATAAGGATAAAGTAAATGGTAAGCAAAGGGTATGATCCTTAGGCTATTCCTTGAAGGAAAAATATATTAATAAAAAAATAACCGGATAGACTTCTATACTAAGGTCCTTGCCTGAAGCAAACTCAGTTCTGTCGTTTGACCGGTAGTATTGTATATCAGCGAAAAAAAGGAAACCTTCAAATTAGGTCTACTCTGGGCAGTTTTTTCATTAGATTCAGTTAAACATTAACTACTTCTCTTTTGTGGAATTAAACTTCAGTTCTTTGTTTGTTCTTTCTCTTGTTTTCATTGCATTAAAAAAATACCTGAATACATTTTTATTATTAAAAGCATTTCAGATAATACAGGTAAATTACTCCCAGCACTTGCACAGGCGCACGCACACACACAAGGTACGCACCCCAGGCTTCTCCCTGGAGGTGACCACTACTGCCCATTATCCTTCCAGACAGTTTTTATGCATTTGCTTAACAGTATAGGTATGTAGAGAAATGAAGTATATGGCTTTGTGAGCTGCAGTTATTTCAGATTTTTATGTGTGTTCTTTGGTTGTCTTTTCTTGTGTTTTCCTAGTATCAGTATTATGCTGGCTTTGTCAAATGAGTTGTGTATTTTCCTTTTTTCCTGTACCCTGAAAATACTTTATTTGCAATTGAGATTCATTAGAATTATTTTGTTCTTTGAAGGTTTGGTAAGAACTTACCTCTAAAATCATCTGGACTTTGGGGGATAATTTTCTGTTTTTCAGTTTTTTTCCATGGTCATTGGTCTATTTAGGTTTTGTATTTCTTGAACCAATTTTAGTAATTCTGTGCCTTTTATTTAAATCAGACTTGCTAAAGATTTCTCTAGTCCTCTTTTTAAAAGGCCATCTTTGGGGTTTTATTTTTTTCTCTTGCATCAGTGTCTGCGTCTATTTTTATGTTTATTTTTCTTTTCTAGCTTTTTTAGTTGAAAGCTTAGAGCATTTATGTCAGTCTTTCTTATTTTATTAAAAATATTTTTTAGTGCTGTCAATTTGCCTCTGAATTTAGCTTTGGTCATATCCTTCATGTTTGACTAGGTAATGTTTTGTATCAGAGTCAAGTCAGAAAAACAGAAACACAAGGTATCTCAATAGAAAGAATGGAATATGAAGGTTGGTTTCACAGTGTCTTAGGTGAGTTTCCTTGAAGCAGACCCTTCAAGGAAGAAAGGGGAACAAAGAGAGGTTGGGGATATCAGAACCTAGCAGCTAGGAGAGACAAACCCTGGTGGAAGTGGGACTCCAACTCTAAGGAGGGCATACTACTAGCAATGCTGGTGCCACCGGAGCTGGAGGAGGGGCCCTGCAGGGCTGGGATTCAGACCTTGAGAAAACGACGCTAGCTAGCCGGTTGGTGCTTTTGTCTCTGAAGGAGCACAGTGAGGCAGAGTCTGTGAATGCCAGGGTAAAAAGGTAGAGGCTGGAACCACCTGCTGCTGCCACAGTGAAGGACCATTGCTGGGGTGATGAAAGCAAATGGGAAAGAGGCAGTCCCCTCTCTTCTCCAGCCCTGCAACCTCCCTCCAGTGCCCCATACTGGCCGAGCCCATCAGAGAACTGCTGTCAAAGCAGAAAGTGATTTACAGAATTCCAGCACATTTACAGAATTCTGCACAACAAAGCAGAGGATAAAAGGTGGGTTTAGAGCTAAGAGATCATAGCTTAATAACTGACATGTTCTCATTTTCGTTTCTAGTTTGAGATTTCCATTTTGAGTTCTTCTTTAATCCAAAAGTTATCTTAGAAGAGTATCTTTTAACTCCCAGATATGTAGTTGGTTTTGTTGGTGTTGGGTTTGGGGGGGTTCTTTTTTTGTTTTTTCTGGGTGTCAATTTTTAGTTATACTGCATTGTGGTTGGTGAATGTTGAAATTTTCTTTCTGGTCTTAATGTCTGATCAGTCTTGGTGAATGTTCCAAAAGTGTTTGAAAAGGATACGTATTCTCTGTTGAACAGAAAATTCTACATGGGTATCCATTGCTCTCTGAAAGAAATATGCCAGAGTCTGTCACTGGCACTGTGATTTGTGATTGATAATTTCATTTTGTATTTCTGTCAACATTTACTTTCTACTTTTCAAAGTTACGTTGTTAGGTACTAAAGATTCATGACTTGCTTTGATTTTTCTTTTGTCTGATATTAATCTTGCCACACCTGCTTTGTTGTTCTTACAATTCGTCTAGTAAATTTTTTTCTATTCCTTTATTTTTAAAGGTATGTCTCATGAATACATACAATTTAATTTCTCTAACCAAATCTGGAACTCCCTGCTTTTAAAAAAGTGCATTTAGCCCATATACATCTGTTGTAATAATTACGTATATGTTTAACTTTATCTCTGCCGTTTTATTTTGTAATTCAATTTACATGAATATTTTTGGTTTATTTTCCCTCATCTCTTTATCCAGTTTTCTTTATTTCATAACGAAAGCATATAAATTGAAATCACAAAAGAAAGTGGTAAGTGTGAGTTCAAACATGGTATGCAAGTTATATATTCTTCTCGTTGTTACTTTTGTTTCAAGTCTTCCACTTGAATTCTAAAGTTTGTTCACTAGTAACTTTATGTTTTTGAATGGTAAACTTTCTGAGTTGTTATGCTTGTAAAAATGTCATTATTTCACCCTCCTGCTGGATTCATAGTTTGACTGGGGGAAATTTCTAAATTCACATGATCTTCCCTGGAAAATTTGAAGTTACTCTTTCATTTTCTTTCTTACACCTGGAATTGTTGATTTATTAAAGTCTCATGTTAATCTAATTCTCATTCCTGTATAGGTAATCCTTTTTTTCCCTTCTGGAAGGATTTAAGATTTTCCTTTTATCCCTTTTTTTTTTTTTTTTTTTATTTGGCCATACCATGCAGCTTGCAGGCCCTTAGTTCCCCGACCAGGGATCAAACCCACGCCCCCTGCAGTGGAAGCATGGAGTCCTAACCACTGGACCACCAGGGAATTCCCTCCTTGGTTTTCTAAGTATGGGTCTTTTTTCATCCATCTTGCTTAGCTCTCTGAGGACCTTGCAGTCTGAACACTTGTTTCTTTGTTCAGCCCTTGGGAATTTTCTTCTACAACTGCTTTGAGTGTATGTTCTGCTTTGTTCTTTCTCTACTTTTTCTTCTAGAAATTCTAGTACGTGGATATTGGAATTCTTGAGTAATAGATGTATGTATCCTCCAGAACTCTTAACTTTTCTTTTATACTCTTCATTTCTTTGTTCTGTTGCACTGGGTTCTGGAAGAATTCCACAGCCAAATTTTCAGCGCACTGATTTATTCTTCAGCAGGGTCCATGCCACTGTTCTGCCTTTCTATTGATTCTTTTTCATAGCATTCGTTCTAGTTTTATGATGGCAATATTCTCTTATCACTCTGAAGATATTGACTACAGGTTTGTTTGTTTGTTTTAACATCTTTATTGGAGTATAATTGCTTTATAGTGGTGTGTTAGTTTCTGCTTTATAGCAAAGTGAATCAGCTATACATATACGTATATCCCCGTATCTCCTCGCTCTTGCGTCTCCCTCCCACCCTCCCTATCCCACCCTCACCCTTAGGTGGTCACAAAGCACTGAGCTGATCTCCCTGTGCTATGCAGCTGCTTCCCACTAGCTATCTATTTTACACTTGGTAGTATATATAAGTCCATGCCACTCTCTCACTTTGTCCCAGCTTACCCTCCCCCTCCCCGTGTCCCCAAGTCCATTCTCTACTTCTGCGTCTTTATTCCTGTCCTGACTACAGTACTCTTAAAATGTATTTCTCTTTGCTCCCTCAGCTGTTTGCTCCAGTGTTCATTCTTCTGGTTCTTGAGTTTTATGCCTCTTTCACGTAGTGTTGGTTTCCTCAAACATTCGTGATTCTTGACTGTGAGCTTACCCTTGTGTCTTTCCCGTCTCAGGAGAAGCAGGAGGTGCTGCTTGGCTGAGTGTGCCAGTGGCTGGGTTTCTGGGCATGTGGCTCTTCATATTCCTCCTGGTCCAGGTCACTGCGCTGCTCTTGGTACAAGGCAGACCAGTGAAGCCATTTTAAAGTTCCTTTTTGTGGGATTTAACCCTCTTTATCTTTATATACACCTGTGTGGATCCCCAGCACACACACACACACATATACACCCATGACCCTTGCATACCTTTGCCATCCTTCATTCTTCTGTTAGGGTCAAGCGGAAATTCTGGTCACCATTCAGTGTTCACATTATTATGAATGTGTAAGAAATACATGAATGGCTGATTACTCCAGGGTTTGGTTTGGTTCGGGTTTGGTTTTGCATAAAAATGGAGAACATATTTCTTACTTTCAACTATGATCAATATTTTTCTATTTGGTCTCTTAATTTAAAATTTAATGGTCAGTGTCAAAATTCATCAAAACATGCTATTTAAACGGGTGCATTTTATATAAACTACTTCAATAAAATTCAATTTTTTTTTAATTCAAAAAAATATTGATCTGACTGATTTCTGCATACCTTCTATGATAAATATTAGGAGAGAATAACAGCAAGACAGTAATAATCACCTCCAGGTATTTTTCTCTTTTCCAGGGTGTACATTCTAATGAAATAGGTGCCATTTTGTCCAGTATTCCTGAGGCTGAAAAATTTGCTCAATTCTGGATCTGCAAAGCCAAGCTGTTGGCAAGTAAAGGCACCTTTGATGTTATTGGGCTATATGAAGAGGCCATTAGAAACGGGGCCAGAGTAAGTATCTACCTTGAGTGGGTGACTTCTTAAAACTTCTCTTTAATACGACTTCTCTGTTGTTTGCAAAATGGCGGCTATGTAATGTAACGTTGAAGCTTCTAATTCACTTCATAAAGTCATATGCAAAATATGAAGTACAATATGTCCTTTATGAACATTTTAATTAAAATATTTATTTTGTAGAATACAGTGTTACATGTAAACCAATAGAATCACTTTCTTGGCAAGCGAATGTCTCACTTTACACTCATTGTAGAAATAAGCACTTGTGAAAAGTAATAGCATAGAAAATTATAATGTAACGTCAATAGCCAATACTAAGAAAGTCATACCTCACCTGAAGAACCTAAAAATATATTAAACCCAACACATCAATGTCCATAAATCAATAATTCAGGGCTATTTTATGAAATAACTTTTAATCCTAAAACCTAGTAAAACCACTGTCTATATATAATTTTTTTTAATAAATTTATTTTTATTTTTGGCTGTGTTGGCTCTTCGTTGCTGCACGTGGGCTTTTCCCTAGTTGCGGCGAGCAGGGGCTACTCTTCGTTGCGGTGCATGGGCTTCTCATTGCAGTGGTTTCTCTTGCTGCGGTGCACGGGCTCTAGGCGCGCAGGCTTCAGTAGTTGTGGCTCGCAGACTCTAGAGCACAGGCTCTAGAGCACAGGCTCAGCAGTTGTGGTGCACGGGCTTAGTTGCTCCGTGGCATGTGGGATCTTCCCGGGCCAGGGATAGAACCCGTGTCCCCTGCATTGGCATGCAGATTCTTAACCACTGCACCACCAGGGAAGCCCTATATATAATTTTTTCAACACAGACTGCATTAAATAGTTTCATAACTCTTTTCCCTATAATATCACTTTCCATGTCATCATATATTCTACCGTACCTTTTCCGTGATTGTTCAGAATCAGACTTGTCCATGGACATAGTTTAAATAAATAATTTGATAAGGTCTGTTCCATAAGGCCTGATTCCCTCCCCTCCCATTTCCCACTTCCCACTTCCCAGAGCAAACTGAGTATTTTGTTACCTTGATAGTTTCAGATAACATGCTTATATTACTATTTCTTGATTTTTCTCTCTTTAGACATGATTTGTAGACATCCAACTATACAGGATGAGGATCTAACCTTCTTTCTCACACACACCCACACAGATCCCCAACACACACACATAGGCACCCCTATCACCCCTGCAGACTTTTACTGTCCTCCATATTTCCATTAGAGTCATATGGAGATTCTGGTCACTATTCAGTGTTCACATTGTTATTGACTATGTGAGAAATATGCATTGAGCCATGTGGTATACACTGTGATTACTTTGCCTTTCAAGTATGGTTTCATAATTTTCCTGAAATTATTTTCTTGTTTTCCCTTTGCTTAGTTTTCTGAGTATTTATTATATAATTAATTCCCATACTCTTCTATAATTATCTAAATTTCTCCATACTTTCAAAACATTCGATATTCTGTTGATTTCTTTTTCTCAGAGACTTTTCTCCCAGACCCTTCTTAATCTGTTCCAGGCTCAACAGGTTGTTCTTTACCCCTGTCTTTATTGCCTGTCATTCTGGGATCTCCTTTCACCAAAACCCTCAGATTCCCGTTTCTTCCTGCATTGCCTGATTCTTCTCCAATACTTTTCTTCTCTCACCATTTTTTTTTTTTTTTGGTGGGTAGGGGGTTGTTCTCTATTGTTCATTAAATGCTTTACTCAGATGCCAGTGAAACTGGGCTGTTTCAATATAAGAGGTGGATTTTAAAAAGCTTGTTAAAAACTCTGGACACAGATGAGGCTTTACCATAGGGTGATTTGGCTGAGTCAGTTGACTGAAGAACCCTCAATATCAGTGTCTTCAGGTCTTCCTTCTAAGACTGGTTATATTCTCTGAAGAAGCCTCATCCAGTCTTCTTCCCAGGAACTAGAAGCCAGGCTACCAGGTGTTATGGGGGAGGAGAGAGCTGGGTGTCTCAACCTTCAGCGTGGAAACTTTCATTTATCCCTTTTTTCAGTAGGCACTCCCACCCTCAATCTTGCATGATATCCCCCAGAGACTTGGAGGATACGTGCCCAGTGTCCTGTTTGGATGAAGGTGGGAGGGGCACAGTCACCGGGCTGCATGGAGTTTAGGGATGCAGGGTGGATGTGGAGGTCTGACCGTATTTATTTATTTACTTGCTTACTTCCCAAGCCACGCAGCTTGCGGGATCTTCGTTCCCCAGCCAGGGATTGAACCAGGGCCGTGGCCCTGAAAGCGCCGAGTCCTAACCACTGGACCGCCAGGGAATTCCCAGGTCTGACTGCTTTTTGACAGATGCTCAAGAGCCCTCCTGATTTTGACCCCTCCATCCATTCCTCAGCCTTTCAGGGGCTCTGGGGTTGAATCAGGTTCTTTCTTAGCCACACTGCCAGCTTAGAATTTGGCTCTTTCAAGTTGGTCAAACTGCTTACCTCTTCCTTCCACGTTCGAGCTTCCAAAGTCTTGTTGCTGTTTCTTCTATTCCCTGTGGTAACTGCCTCCTTTTTAATCCCTTAAGTATAATTTCAGTAGAGTTTCAAGAGTGATTAGAAATAAATGTGTAAAAAAAAAAAAGAAATGTGTACTCAATGCATCGTCTTTAGCTAGAAGCCTGTGAAAATATAAAATACACTTGATGAGTGTTTTATATAATTAAGACCTTTTGCAATATATTCTGTACATTTATTCCCATTTCTTAAGTTTACAGCCTTTTAGATTTTGTAAAAATGTATAGATAGCTTTGCTTTTATGCTCTGTTGTCAGTTTGTATCTGTTATTTACTTGATACAGAGTCCCAGGTCAGGAAGACCAGGCTCCAAATATTATGTTCCTGTGAGAACGTACAATTCATTTATGATGTTCTGCTTCATAGCCTGGTTAACATGCTTTAAAAAGGATGGCTATCTCAGATAATTTTATCAGAAAATTACTATTCTGTAATAGTTTTTTTTATTGTTTTTTATGTTATTTTACCAAATAAAAGAAGAAAGGGAAGGCTGGGGGGAAATTGCCCAGAATGCCAACTAAAGGTTATATTTAGATGATGGGATTATGGGTGGTTTTCCTTTTCAAATTTGACCTATTGTTCAGTTTTCTGTAATAAGATATATGACTTTTGGGCTTCCCTGGTGGCGCAGTGGTTAAGAATCCGCCTGCCAATGCAGGGGACACGGTTCGAGCCGTGGTCTGGGAAGATCCCACATGCTGTGGAGCAACGAAGCCCGTGCACCACAATTGCTGAGCCTGTGCTCTAGAGCCTGTGCGCCACAACTACTGAAGCCCGTGCACCTAGAGCCCGTGCTCCGCAACAAGAGAAGCCACCGCAATGAGAAGCCCACACACCGCCACGAAGAGTAGCCCCTGCTTGCCACAAGTAGAGAAAGCCCGCGCACAGCAACAAAGACCCAGTGCAGCCAAAAATAAATAAATAAAATAAAAAAGATATATGACTTTTATAATAAAAACAAAAATTCAGTTAAGACAACACTAAAAACATATGACAAATTTTCTGTATGGCTCGCTTTACATCTTTGGATCAGAATCTTTATGTGGGAACACATCTTCAGTGGGATTATATAAGTCAATAAGAAAATTGATTTAGAGAAATTTCATTATAGACAACTTCCCATAAATACATCTCTTCATTAAAGTCAAGCATGCCAAAAACAAGATGGCGGCGGCCACATGAGCAAACCCCCCACCCCACCCAGGTCTCCAATGTCACGGTCACTGCCACCACCCACGCCGGCAGCCCCTCCCGGCATTCCTCGCGCTCGCATATAGTGCGCCAGCCTCGCACAACCAAAAAGTGTCACCTCGGAGCACGGGACCCACCGCCCCGGAGAAGCCCAAGCCTACGTGTCAGAAGCCGGCACTCCCCCCACTCGCACACCTCGCTCTCGCCCTGCGTGGCACACGTCAGTGGGGCGAGGAGCGGTCGCTCCGCAGGATGCACGCTGCTTACCTGGCAATTAAGTAAAAAGGCCAAAGAGGCAGCTACCGCCAAGAAGCCGAGAGACTGGGAAGGGCACAGCGCGGGAAGACTCCTGCTAAAGCCCTCCTGAAGCCAGTTTCTCGAATCCCCACCAGCAGACCGTCTGAGGTGCCTTCCGCGGAAGAGGATGCTTCAGTCCACGAAAGGGGTAAATCCCAATCCAACAGAACGATTATTTGCTGTCGCTCAGAGTTGCTGAACCCTTGATCCCCAGAAAGGACTTCCACAATACATCAATGCACTTATCCAAAGCAAAGAGTGTCTGAGCCCACTCCCCACGGTTTGTTCTTGTTCAGCCTTCTGAGTGTGTGAGCTACCTTTCCAATGAATGGATTTGGCAGACTTGTCGTTTCTGAACTCGCCAGCAAGAAAGAATGGGGGCTTCCGTGGTGGTGCAGTGGTTGAGAGTCCGCCTGTCGATGCGGGGGACGGGTTCGTGCCCCGGTCCGGGAGGATCCTGCGTGCCGCGGAGCGGCTGGGCCTGTGAGCCGTGGCTGCTGAGCTTGCATGTCCGGAGCCTGTGCTCCGCAACGGGAGGGGCCCCAGCAGTGAGAGGCCCGCGTACCGCAAAAAAAAAAAAAAAAAAGAAGGAATGGGTTAGTTTGCCCTCAGAGACTCTAAATATGTCATCCATAGAATGGACTTGTCCAGCCTGCTAAGGGTCAGCACCCCAAACACAGACTAGATTTAACTTTTGGACTACAGTATGGTATGCATCCACAAAATGGACTTGTCTGGCTTTTGCCATATCCAGACTTCTATGCCCAGGATGGACGTGAAGAGATTTCACATTGTCCACATAAGTACTAGTCTTAGCCCTCTGAGAATGTGAGCCCCCATGCGAAAATAAGAGGTACCTATTTACCTCTCAAAGTGTCGGAGGTCTGATCATATTTTACGTTCATGACACATCGTCATGGTTGTTCTATGCAAAGCCTCTCATTTTATTTATTCTTTTATTCCTGTAGCCAACTATCATTCTCTTCCTCCCACAGTTAACTTTATTGAGTTTAATGTGTATCTCTTGGTGTGATTTCATATAAAATCTGCAATTTTGTGTAAAAAAAAAAAAAGTCAAGCATGCCAGCATTTAACCAACATTTTCTTTGTTCCTTTATTTTTCCCATAAAGCTAAAACTGAAACCTTTTAAATGTTATTTATAGTTAGACAAGAGATAAAAAGGGAAATGTTTTTGTTATAAAAAGTCTATTTGATGTTGAACAACATCGTAAGTTCCTTAGATCACTTTTTTCCATGAATGTTTTTACTACTGTTCATGTATTTTCTTCCTTCCAGCCAATACAAGAGGTGCGGAAAGTTGTCCTTAATATTTTGCAAGACCCAGACAGAACCACAGAAGGTACTACTATTTTGTATTTAAATTCATTCCCTCCAGCCACTCAGGTAGAAGTCATTGAGGAACACATAGCGGGTAAAAAAAGAATTGTAATTGTTAAGTCCCCTGAAATGCCTCTTGCTTCTTGGTTTCCATGGCCTGCCCTTTTGGCCTTCATCGTCAGCTGATTCATTTCTATTCTGTTATTACAAGTAAATATACTGCTCAACACCAAACAAAGGTTTCCACCAGAGCAGCCTAGACTAGGGTGTCTTGCTTCCCTGGAGAGAAGGCGAGAGGAGAAGGCAAGTGACTCTTTTTTTTTTTTTTTTTTTTTTTGCGGTACGCGGACCTGTCACTGTTGTGGCCTCTCCCGTTGCGGAGCACAGGCTCCGGACGCGCAGGCTCAGCAGCCATGGCTCACGGGGCTCAGCCACTCCGCGGCATGTGGGATCTTCCCGGACCGGGGCACGAACCCGCGTCCCCCGCATCGACAGGCGGACTCTCAACCACTGTGCCACCAGGGAAGCCCAGCAAGTGACTCTTTACCAGAAGAGACTGAGGCAAATGGGAGAGGTGCTTTGATTTAAGTTACATGTTTCATCATAACAAGCCCACCAACACGTATACATCCAAATTCATGTTACACCTTTAAATCATACCCATCTCAGGAATCATTTCACTTAATTCGCCATTACTGTCATTGGCCAGAACCTTTAGAGAACTCTTCTATGAAAAATGTGCCAAATACAGTGAGTGACACGTTAATTATAATATTTGTTATATGAACGGGAAAAAAACTACCTTGAGAAAATAAAATGGATTATTTTTATAATCTTAGAAGGTGACAAATCTTTTTCCTTTAAGTGTAGGTTTAGGGAATTGCCTGGCGGTCCAGTGGGTAAGACTCCGCGCTCTCACTGCCAAGGGCCTGGGTTCAATCCCTGGTCGGAGAACTAAGATCCCATGCGTGCCACGCAGCCAAAAAAAAGCAAAGGGGTAGATTGACCTTTGGGGAACAATCACGTCATGAGGAATTACAGCCAACTAACCCATTACTTTTGGGAATAAGGTTGTAGAGTACCTGTACTCAGTGGTCCTCTTGCTGAGAATGATGCTACGATTCAGGTGTTTGTTTATAATGTGTGGCAGTGTTCTTCAAAGGGATAAAAAGAGGAGACAGGAATCCATGCCTTTCCCACCTCTTGGCCCCTGTTGGCCTCTCTTGGGGTCTCAGCCTCCAGCCACAGTGTCTGTCTGTCTCAGCCTGATTTCCTTCCCTTAATTTTGGTTGTTATGGTTGGGCTATCATGCAAATTGTGTCAACACACGACATTTTTTCACCTACTGTCCAAGGTGATAGCCATATGGTCACACCTGGGTAGGGAGGGATCAGAAGGTCAAGTGAATTAACTCTAATTAGTCAGGAAAATTGATCCAAGGTGTGATGTAAGGGTAAGAAGAGGCCAATGATTAGTCACTAAGGGAGCTCCCTCGAGAGTGAATAAGAGATTGGGGATGTGTTCACAATGTTGAAAGGGTAGCAGGGATCCATTCTCACAGGCCCCAAGGCTGCCTGGAGGGCTGGTTAGGAGGATGGCCTGATGTAGCAGGAAAAACTAGTTGTAAGTCCCACTCCAAATCAATTACTCTTTATTGAGTATATGGAATCCATAAGGATCACTGAGAAATCATTGTAGATAACTGCTATTTCATTTTATTGATTTTTTAGCTTCAGTATTAAATTGCTAAATCTTTTCTTTTTGACCTTGTATACACAGGAATTACCTCTGACTCTTTAGCTGCTGAAACTAATATAACATCAATAGAAATGCTGGCCAAGAAGATGGAGTCTGGGACGTCTTGTCTTTCTCCAAAAGAGAGGGAACAGGTTTCAGCAACACCCCAAATAACCAAGTCAGGACAGGATAATCATCCTGGTATCAAATTACAGATCGCGCCGATCCCTAGGTAAGCAAACTCTAAAGCAGGCTTGTGTTCACAGGTCTAATTCAAGTCCAAGTCTCAATTTCTCCTCCACAGATCCAGGATACCATCAGATTAGTGATACCTCCTGCCTCATACGAGGACCAGGTGGTCTAATCCATCTTTGGTGTTAAGGGAAGGAGCTGAGGGTGAGGGGAGAGTTGGAACCAGTGCCAGGAAGACCTGTGTCCTTTCTCAGTACACACGCCATCCCCCCTCACACCACCCCCAAGGAGACGTGACCTGCAATGAGGAAGGAGCTGCCAGGGTCAGGAGGGCTGCTGGAGTGGAGTCACCCCTCCCTCCTGGCATTGGTCCTCCCTCTTCACCCTCATTTGTGCTGCACTTGCAGATCCCACCCACCTTTCCAGCCAGTCCTGGGGGGCAGGAGCAAACTGCCAAGCAGGCAACCTCTGGTGCTGTGGGAAGGAGGGAGCTGTGAATAGCCCTGTAAGAACAGGGAGGCGGCCAGGCACGTGCTAGTTAGAGACTGCGCACAGTATCAGAAGTGTTTGGTTTTGAGACAAGTGTAAGCTTAAGAATCCATAGTAATTTAAGGAACTTTGTCAGGGTATCGATGTCATTTTCTAAAACATTAGTGTAACATCAGTCTCTGTTCGTGCTCTTGAAAGGAAAATTCCAAACAAAAGCACCAAGACCACAGTTCTGTATCTTCATTCTCTGGAAAGCACAGCTGGGCCTCTTCCAGTCTAAACTCCTGTCTCAGACCTGTCATTTCCCCACTGTAGTCAGCTCGTGGGTGGATGAAAGCAGGCAGCTGACGTGAAGACCACCTCTTACTGCCTCCGGAATCGATGACGAGCGTTTTCAGCAGACTGGCCACGAGTTTTGTGAGGCTAATGTAATCCGTGGTTTTGTGATGTGTGACCAGGATTCACTGCCTGGAAAGGTCTCTGCAACGTACCCTCCAGGCTGCCTGTGACTGGAATGCATTCAGGTTTACCAGGAAGATGCCTGATTTGTTCCAGTTTCAATTTGTGGTTTGGTCCACCATCTTAAAAGATGTTTTTTGAATAATTTACTGTCAAAGCTAGAAAGAATCTTAGAATTCATTAGTCCAGCCTCATTTGGTGTTAGGCCCAATTTCATCAAAACGTGTCAGCTCTTTGAAAGTTTATGGAATAAACAAACACCAACTGCCAAGTAGCTGACTTCAAATAAAAGCACACTCAACAATTCATTCAATTAAATCCCTGTGCTGACACCATCTGAGAGCAGATGGACACCACCCAGTTCATTCTGACAATGAGGGCAAGTCCACCTTAGGACGAGAGCTACTATAGACATTTCTCTTGTGTTTTATTAGGGAATAAGAAAAAAATAAAGACTAACAAGTAGAATTTTGAAAGAAGTTAGAAGGTTTTGAATGCATCTCTTGCTGTCTCTCAGAATAAACGGAATGCCGGAAGTGCAAGACATGAAGCTTATCACTCCTGTACGGCGGTCAGCCAGGATCGAGCGAGCAGTGTCCCGCTACCCGGAAATGCTGCAGGAACCTGACCTAGTGGTGGCTTCTCTCAGCGAACTGTTAGAAGTGGAAGAGACAGAGTGTTTTATATTCCGCAAAAATGAGGCTTTGCCGGTAACATTAGGGTTTCAAGTCCTTGAGTCGTAATTTCTTGATTTTTTTTTTTAAAAAAGAGAGACATTTCAGAGCCTCCACAAGACAAGAAATGCACTTACCTAGGTGGCCTGGGGGAAACTGTGTAATAGAGGGGCATCGTGGATGCAGACTGTGGGCCCCAGGGCCTGGAAAGTAATTCCCTGGGCTTACTCTCAGATTTTACACCCCCATGGGAAAGTCTGGTTATTTAAGACTGTAGTTTGCCACAGCTTTACAGCACACATAAGTTTCAAACTTTGAAAATTAACTTACCCCACAAGTATGGTAACAATTTGAGTTTTATTGACCTACCTTAATCCCAACATAGTCATTTTTTATATCAGGAGATCAATTCCACAATATGATAGACTTTCCTTCCTGCATCCACCTTAGCAGAGAGGGCAAGTCCTTCCAGCATGGAAGATCTGAGTGTAGAAACTAGCCTTCCCCGCTAGGTGGGACGTGACAGACCATCTGGTCAGATCCTCTCATTCTGCAGCTGAGTTTATGCTGGCTGTGCCTTTCGCTCAGAGATCACAGATGACTTTTATGTGTGATCTTTGACTTCCGTCACAGATCCTTGGAGATGAGAGGTAATTCACATCCTTTCTGGGCCTGGCCTCCTTAATGATACACAATCCTGCACTGGGGTGGTCATCTGGCTTTTTATATTCAAACCTAATTTTGCATTTGTTGTTGAGAAATGCTTCAAATAAAAACAAAAGGGAGCAGCAGACAGGGGTGGGGAAAGGACCCTTGCCTCTTCAATTCTTTGCTCTCCTAGGGGACACCTGGCCTGAGAAGACATCTGAGCCCCAGAGACTATCATAGGTCGCCCTTCCTTCCTCCTGGGCAACTGCTTGTGGAAAAGGTAGAATCAGAATCGTTGTGTAAATATAATGTATAGGAAAACCTAGTCAATGTAGTTTAGATTTTAGTTTTCTTAATATTTATGTATCATCTAAAAAACAATTTTATTCATTCCTGCTTATTCATTTATCATATTTATTACAGAAAACAGTGCTGGTGGCTTGGCCTAGAGAATTAGGGGTTTGTCTGGGGAACGCCAATAGGCTATCCCAAGAGACCTCAGAGGGAACACCCACTACCCTGGAGAACTCACCTTCATGTGGATTTTTCCATTGTGAGGGAAGCAGATCCATCTCTCTTAAGTCTGATTTATAAAAATGAGGTTCATAAAGCTGAGGTATAAAACCATAATGCTAATAGACTAACTTTTGATGAGAAATAGATTGTCACCACAACCAAAATGCAGGAATCCACACAGCTAGGCGTTCCCTTCCCTTTAGACAGACTCACTTTACCTCTAAAGCCCGAGGGGTTGCTTAGAAGTCCTGGAAGCTGAAAATGGGACTTGGGGAAATAAAATATTCAAAATCACGAGACAGAAAGAGCCTGAAGCACGTACCTCCTTGTTAGGAACGCCCTTGCCTCAGACCTCAGGCACTCCATCTCATGTCCATGGACCAGTCCTCTGATTGGGCCTGCACTGCTGTCCTTTGTGCATTACCTGTTCTTTGGCTTCATACGGTTCATCCTTGCCACCTAATGCCCATCCCCCCACCCAGACTGGGAATCAGCTGTCTATGGTGATTTTACGTCTCTCTCTCCTCAGAACATCGTCTCAGTATCACAGCTCAGTTCTCAAAAGAACACCTTCGCTATTGCCAGTTCCCAGCAGGACTTCTCACAGTACCACCCTGGGTACTAACAATGTCGGCTGAACCACTGGCATTGAATAACGCGTAGATTTCAAACTGACAAATTGGAGGTTTTAAACAGCCTGATTGGAGTAAGTAGCATCTTCAGGATATAAAAAGATGTGGAAGTGATGGAGATGGTATAGCAACGACAGAAAACTGCACCGTGATTCTGCAGCTCTTTGTAGATTCTTAGTAACCCTCTTGTTTAGTAAATAGCTGTTCCTAGATACCTGGAGCAGGAGGGAGGGAGAGAGGGAAGGTAAGAAGCAGGCCCTTAATCACTTGGGAGGAAGATTCATAGGGAATTGCAGGGGAGATATGGGCCTCGGCAGAAATTAAGTCTAACGTTCAACTTCTTAGAAGGGGGGAGAGTAAAGGGAGTGTTAAAGGAAGATAAATAAGGATGGTTATATACTGGCATCCTGGTGCAGAATGACCATGAACCAGAAGACGAGGAGAGAAGGAGGCATGACAGCTCACAGTTATTACTGTTTACTAGGTACAGGTACTCATGCTATAAAAGACATCTGTTGTGCCTGCTTGGCATGTAGTCCTTCTTCTAATAAGAGTGCCCTAATTTCCTTAGGACCACCTCTTTCCCGCTCACAATCTGTCACTTAACAGGAACGGACTCCACCCACATGAGCATGTGACCCAGGCTAGGCCAACCAGAGCCCAGTATCCTGGCCAGCGGCATTGATTGGACGATGGGGTTATTTCTCACTCAAAACCAGTGAAACTCGTTTCCCAGACTTTTGTTGGAGAGACTTTTCCTGGTAGAGTTGCTGCAAAGAGGATGGAAATCTGTAAACCTTCTTATAACCATGGAGAAAAAAACCACCTAGAGAATGGCACCAACACAGAATAAGCCTGAGAGCTGGAGAGAGTAAGCTTACATCCAGTGACATCATTTGATCCCTGGCTAAAGCCTGGAGCTGGCCAAGCCCTGTACTTTTCAGTGATGTGAGACAATTGATTCCCTTATTCTTAAGCCAGTTTCATTTAGGTTTCTGTCAGGTGCTAGGGAAAAATCCTGACTAGTACACATATATACAGTAGTAGAGGAAACTCCTATTTCATGTTTGCTCTGGCCGCCTTGCAGGCATATTGTCTCACTACATTCTCACAGTAGCCCTATGGCATAGGTATGGAAACAAAGTGAGACAGTAAATGACAGGCAGGACTGACGTTTCAAACTCAGAGCTGCCTGGCTCCAAGTGCAGAGCTTTTAACTCCTGTCTCTAAAGTATGGAATGAGAACTAGGACGGTGACAAGGAAAGAGCAAATCTGAGAAAGACATTCTTGAACGGCTCCCAACTTACCAAATAAGAATCACTGTGATAGCCAAAGTGCTGTCGTTTATCCTCCAGATGAGGCGATCGATCACATTTTTACCACAAGAGCACCGCCCCAGGGATGGTGCTTCTCGTCATTTCTGCCTGCTCGGGACTGGGTGCAGGAATTCAGACACCGATTCAGCCGGTGTGACTAGTCACAACTAGAAATGCATCTCTCTCCCATCAGCAACCCTGGTGCAACAGCCAATGCTCAGCTGTGCCAGGCCCACAGCATATCTGTCTCAGGGCTCTACCATCCCCAGGGTGCAGCCTCATCCATGTGGACAAGCGTGGCTCCCAAGCAGTTTCACATGGCAGCCAGTGGGAACGGGCAAGAGAGGGAGCGGAAGGCACACCCTCTCCTTTTAAGGTCACGACGTGGAAGCTGGATGCATTATTTCTGCTTAGGGTGAGAGGGACCACAGCTTGCTCACGTGTCCCCACTCATCTTCAAAGAAGGCTGGGAAATGTCTTCTGGGTGGCCACATGCCCAACTAAAACTTCTTCCAGAAACGGGATATGACTATCGGTGTCTACCACAGTCTTAGCAGCAATGGAGTACATCTCTAAGGTGCAGATAAATGAGGACAGAGGTGACACAGGATTAAAAATATATACTGCATCAAATGAACAATCCCCAGTTAGAAATATCTCCCACCCTACCCTGCCTCAGATGAGTTCCTAAGAGTTGAGGAGGGTTCTAATCCAAAGTTGTATAGCCCTTCCCCACTTCCTCTCATCTCATGATAGGTCTTTAGCCCCACCCTTTCCCCTGCAGTTCTACAAGCTGACCCAGAGTAATAATAAATCAGGTTACATGGTTCACTCAATAAAACATACAGGACACTGGAAGCCAGAGATATAATGATGACCCAAACAGCCTGTCACTAAGGAGCCTCAAGTCCAGTGGGGACACATGTTAAAGAATCACAAGCGTCAAAGTGTGATGATCCTCGGCTTACCTGGTGGCGCAGTGGTTGAGGGTCCGCCTGCCGATGCGGGGGACACGGGTTCGTGCCCCTGTCCGGGAAGATCCCACATGCCGCGGAGCGGCTGGGCCCTTGAGCCATGGCCGCTGAGCCTGCGCGTCCGGAGCCTGTGCTCCGCAAGGGGAGGGGCCACAGCAGTGAGAGGCCCGCGTACGGGTGGGGGGGGGGGGGGGAAGTGTGATGATCCTGAGAAAGAGGTCCCTGGGGGATGGGCTAAGAGAAGGAACTGATCCAGTCAGGGAGGTGGGGAGGCCCCCCGAGATGTGAGGGGGGCAGAGATGGGGGTGCTTCAGGCAGAAGGCAAAACACGGCAAGGGCCCTTTGGCCACCTCTTCCTTTTGCAGGTCTCTCTCCCCTCCCTGTCCCTTCCCCCCTTCCCCTCTTCCTCTCCCTCACTCTCTTCCTCACACCCCTTAGGGGTCTGCTGCCAGGCCGATTACCCCCAGGCCCTTCTGCATTCTCTCCACCCTGGGAGGGAATTCTAAGGGTTCAGTTTTGTAGCATTACAAAATACTTTTTGTAATGCTACTGTATTTCAGCACCTTTCCAGAAAAGCATGGACCCTAGGGTCTGAGCAGTTTTCCCGGTAAAATACCCCTTGAATAAAAATCTAGTGTTTAAAGACAAAAGGCCAGGGATACCCGGTTCTTGCCTGGAGAGCCTACCCCTGCAGGACTCTGAGGCCCAAAAGTCAACCCAGGAAGAAGAGTGAAAGGCCTGGAAGCTTCTGAAATAAACAGATTTAAAAAAATGACTGTGAACTCTCTGAGCACGCAGCCTGTTGTCCCTTATTTATCCTCAGATATTCCAAATGTTTCCCTTGTTTATCCACAGAAAATAAAACTAGTGAACTGTGCCACAGACCAATTTCTTCAAGAGTTTGTTTTGTCGTTTCAAACATGTAAATATATTCCTTCTAAACCTCCAATATTAATGCCAGAGGATACACTAACGTGAAAAGTGAACTCAAATTAATGACAGAACAAGAAAGGCCAGGGCTTAACACCACGGAGGAGCTCCGACTAAAAGAATCAAGTTTTTAAATCATGAGTAGGACTTACAGTTTTTAATGCATGTATACATCAAGTTCAAAGATGTCTGGGCATCTCGCTGTCTTTCATAGTGACCTGGAAAGAACGTTAATGAGGTCATCTATAGCCGATTAGGTATTATTGTTACTACTAACGGAATCAAAAGTGCACAGAAATATTATTTTTATTTAATTTTTGATGTGGACCATTTTTTTTTAAGTCTTTATTGAATTTGTTACACTATTGCTACTATTTTATGTTTTGGTTTTTTGGCCGCAAGGCATGTGGGATCATAGCTCCCCGACCAGGGATCAAACCCACACCCCCTGCATTGGAAGTGCGGAGTCTTAACCACTGGACCGCCAGGGAAGTCCCGGAAATACTATTTTTAAAAAGAAATGGATAGAAATAAAATTGGATGTGAAATGATACACTCAGGGGAACTGGGCAAAATAATTCCACTTGTTACACACAAATGGCCCAGAGGCCAGGGAGGGTTGCCTTCCAGGATGAGAGCAAGACACCTTCCTCCTACCTAAAAGAAGTGCTCTTGGGCTCCAAATCTGTTACATTTAGGAGACTTCAATATGGTTGCTTTTTCTCTCTTCCATATTTTTCCCGTTATCTGAAAAATATTTCAAGTGGAAGACGACCGTGATGCCGGCCTGTGTCCTGGATTCAGTCTGCCTCCGTGCAGCCCTCCTGGTCCTTGCCTCTCTCTTTGCCCTCAGCCTTCTAAGAAACAAAGAAAGCTGGTTATGGAACCTTCCCAGGTTCACACAGTGACTCTCAACCAGGGGTAGAAAATGTGTCAAAATGCCCTAGTCTGGGCTGGGGTGGAGATGAAGGGGTAGAGAAACCAACACACACCCAGAGAGCGCGCAGGGGCAGATGGGAGTGGATCCAGCCCTCTGGTGGGCTGGGAGGGAAAAACAGTTGCAAAGCACTGATTAAAGTATTGATGTGCTTGAATTTTGAGCTTCTCCTGGGCAGGAGTAAAGTGGCTTACAATTCCGTTTCTACCTTGTCGGGCATGCTGGAGGTGCTTGGTAAAAAAAAACGGTGGGAAGAATGCACACTGAGCCCGAAGCCACCAATCTAAAGGGAACCGATGAGACAGGCATTTTGAAAATCAAGGCCCAGGAACACCAGGGTAGAAACAGGAACCCTCCTGCAGGGCTTGGGGCTGCAGAACCAGGCTAGGAGCTGAGCCTGCCCCTCAGGAAAACTGGAGTCTGCACTCAAAGGGCAGCCAGGCAGCACAAAGGAACAGAGGGGTCAAAGCAGAAGCCCCTACACATTGTGTCCATAAAAGCTGCCTGGAGAGGAAGCCTGGCCAGGGAGAGCCTGTGTTCTGCAACCTCTCCCAGGGCGGAGATGGACCTGTCAGAGAAATGAGCCAGAACTGGTGTGGAGAGGTGCAGGGCCCCAGTACAGTCAGCTGACCCCGCTGAGCAGAACCTGTGAGTTTGGGCTGACAGCCAGTGGTTCTGGGCCCCCTCGGACCCAATGCCTCTTTTTTTTTTCCCCGGTACGCGGGCCTCTCACTGTTGTGGCCCCTCCCGTTGCGGAGCACAGGCTCCAGACGCGCAGGCTCAGCGGCCATGGCTCAAGGGCCCAGCCGCTCCACGGCATGTGGGATCTTCCCGGACCGGGGCACGAACCTGTGTCCCCTGCATCTGCAGGCGGACTCTGAACCACTGCGCCACCAGGGAAGCCCCAATGCCACATTTTAAATCCAAATATTTTCTAAAACAACATTGTAAATCAACTATACTTCAATTAAAAAATACGTAAAACAAATATTTTCATTTCTTCTATCCTGAATTGAAATTCATAGATAATATAATGATTGTCTCTATAATCTTAAAAATCAATATAATACCATAACTATAACATAGGAGAAATGAAAAGCAATGTATAATATAATATGTATTTCTATGTAAATACTCAGGAATGATTGCACTCGGAAGGCAAAAGAGCTCCTGCAAATCTACCAAATGCCTGCTCGGGTTGATACTGCTCCATTGGGACCCCTGCTCTAGCCCCGGAGTAGCCCCTAAGTCACTGAGCTCCTGGGCCAGCCAGGTGGCTCCTCCCACTTCCCAGCAACTCACCCTCTGGCTGCAGGAGAGGAGATGGGCGGCAGGACCCAGACTGGCCCATTCTGGCTCTGCTGCTGACTCATGGGGCATCTGTAGGGACCAATGCAGCAGGAGGTGGAGAAGCTCCGTCAGTGGTGAGGCCTTCCTGGAGTCCCCAGTTATGCATAGACACCGCCCCCCACCCCCGCCAGCTCCATCCTCTGCCCCCAGCTGCCAGCTCCCTGCCCAGTGATGCCACAGAAAAGGGAGCCCAGGAGGGTCAGCTGGAGAAGGAAGGTTCTGGCAGACGGACTTCACTTCCTCAAAAATCCCAGGCAGCACAGCGGGATAAAGGTCAGGTTTCTTTAACTGTTTCACCTGGGTGCTCCGGATGCTTTTTCTTCACCTGTCTGGTCTCTACTTTAGCAACAATGTCTAACATCTAACTATGCCTCAGACCCCCAGCTTTGGCAACAGGAAATCTCCAGCCCTGCTCATCTAAAAGCCCAGAGAAGGGATGAAGCTGCATGGTGAGAGCTCAGTTCCCCCAGCATGTGGCAGTGTGATGCAGGGGGCAGAGCACGTCCCCTGAGTTCAGCAGCCCTGGGTTCAAATGCTGACTCTGCAGTCTGTCTACCAGTGTGACAACAAGTTACTTAGGTTCTCTGCACTTAAAATTCACCAGTGGTAAAATGAGAAGAAAACCTACTTTGCTGGGTTAAGCGTTCAGCAGGATCGATTTTAAAAAACAAACACCCAGCCCAGAAACAAAACAGTTTTTCCTCCTCTCAAATATCAGGAAGGGAGCTGAGAGTGACAAGAAAAGCAGGGCTCAGGCAGAGAACTAGTTTCAAGTCCAGATCCTTGAGTGTAGATGGCACACCATCTACGACGGAAATAATGACCGCCTGCTGGGAGAGGGATGGGTGTCCTCCGGGGAGCTCTGCACTGGTCAGTCCCACGGCCCCCATGAACTCCGTAGTGTCTTCGCCGCCTCTACTTCCCTGCTTTTGCCCCAGAAGCATCTCCAGGGCTTCCAGAGGAAAACCAGCTGGAGTGTTTACTGTATGGACTGCTGTTTGATCCACTTCTTCTGCGATCACTGTGTACTGAGGGTAGGGAGACCACAGCCTTCCTCCTTCAAACCAGTATCATATGTACTAGGGAGATAATGTGGTCTCAGTTTAAAGCAGGAGGGCAGGAGGAAAACTTCCCAGCAGAGGCATTGTATCTATACAACCACAACCCCTCTAGAGCTTTTTTTTTTTTTTTTTAACGGTGTGGACAGTTATCTGCAAAGGTTTGACCCGCTTGTGCCTAGAGGAGGGAGCGTGGGTCTGGTGACCTCAAAAGCTCTTGGCAGGGCTGGGGACCAGTGGATCCTTCTGGAACGGAGGGTCAGGGATGCCGGACGGGGGTGGGGGTGGGGGTTCTGCAGGGACCCATCAGCTCCGGGGCCACCCGGTACAGAGAGCTGAGCGGGTGGTACAGGAAGTTGAGGCAGGTGGCCGTGTAGAGGTCGGCATAGCGCATCATATGGCTGGAGAAGAGCGTCTGGCAGAAGCCGCAGCGGAACAGGCTGCCCATCGCGCTGTAGCACTGGTCCAGCTCCTGGGAGACTCGCTGGCAGAGATCCCATCCCCACCCACCCCACCCCTGCAGCCTACGACGGGGAAGGAGCCGCCGTGTTGCCCGGCCAGCCGGGGTCTTTGGGAAGTGGGGCGGCTCGCCGCTTTGCCACGGACCCCACTTCCCGCTTCACAGTTAGTTTCCTGCCTGGCCCTGGAGAGTGACCACCCTGCACTAAATTCTCAGCATCACTTACCTTCTGATGCCTCCTCAGAGGGCTTTGCAGGAGGCCCACACGCCCAGTCCCCACTCCGGCCCCCCCAACAGGCCCCCCCGGATCACAGGCCCTTCTTTTAGAGTCTAGAAAACTGGTCCAGATGTTACTCCCAGAGTGACTGAGCAGCACATGTGCCTCAGTTTCCCCGTGAGTAAAATAAGGGTGACGATCCCTGCCCAGCCCACCTCGCGGGGCTGTGGGAGAGTCAAATACCCTACAAGAGGCTCAGCAAAGATCCTTCACTATTGGTCCCAGCTGGGCCTGGGAAGGCCAAGTGGCCTGACTCCCCTTGATGTGGCCTGTGGGACTCTCCCAGCTTTGGTGACTGGTCAAGTAATACCACAAGGGAACATGTCCTTTCCACCGGCCCTAGATCCCGTCTTCTCAGGCCCCTTGTCTGGCTGACCCCAGACGCTAGACGGGTAGTCGGTCACATGAGGACCCAACCCAGGAGGCCGGCACTTCTCAAGGTTAACGGTGGAGATTGAGGAACTGGCTAAGCCCCACCCATCACCCTGCAGGCCCTTTTAAGGGCATACTGCTGTCATGCGTAATATGGCCAGCAGGGGGCGCTGGCTGACAAGGCCAGGTGGCGCTCCAGACGACTGGGGGAGTCGTAATTGGGCTCTGAGGTCTGGGACGGAGCGAATCCAGTCAGGCAGCCCGGAGGCACACGCCCTACCTTCAGCCCCGCTGGGCCCATCCCCTCCTCCCTCGGCACCCCGCTCTTACCCGAATCTCCCTCTTGGTGGAGCTGATGAGTGGCAGCCCGGAACTGCTGCCATCCATGTGCCTGGTGCAAAAATGGCCACGTGACCCAGGAAGAGAGGAACCGGCCCCCCAGGCTCCGGGCACAACCTCCCCAGATCGAGTTGGGGACACCCTACGGGCGCCCAGTGGGGGGTACTGGTCTGGGTGTGTGCCCGTGAGTGAGATGGTAAGCGTCCTCAGTCCAGGCTGGTGGGTCAGCAGGAAGGGCCTAGAGGTCATAGTGTGAGTGTCCCAAGGGGGTCAGAGGGGTCCCAAAGTCCAGTTTACTAGGGAAGCCCACCCTGAAACAGATCATGATTTCCCGACCACTCTGGCGAGGACCCCGCTGCCAGGCCTGGACATGGACCATTACCCTACATCCTGCTCCCCTCCCCGGGCAGGGGTCACAGGTCAGGGCTCTCACTGGTACAGGTCCGCCAGTTGCATGTCCAGCCCCTTCAGCGCCTCCATTCGCTCTGAAAAGTGGACAAGGGACAGGGGGCTTGACAACCCTGCCCACCTTTGTCCCAGGCCTAGCTCAGCTAGTTGAGGTGAGGGTGGAAAGGCCACTGGGGTCTAGGCTCCCCCTACTGTGTGTATAACATCCTTCACCCTTTCCTTACATTGAGGGAGACTCTGCCCAAGGCAGAGCAGGGACGGTTGAGGAAGCTGACACAGAGTCAGGTGACCCGCCCAAGGTCACAAGGCAATGATTCAAACCCAGCCCTTAGGACAAGCCTGGATTGTTTGGGTTCATAGCAACTCCTGACCCCGAGGATACAAGTCATTCCTGGCTGGGAGAGTGGACCTTCCACTCACTAAGATTCCTCAGGGTGGGTAAGGAGGGTGGGTTCAGTGACGAAGGAAACCTTGGACTACAGAAACACCACAGGACTCTGGAATCAGGAGACAGGATTTGAGTCTCAACTTTAGCCCTTCTGGCTGTGTGACTTTGGGCAAGCCGCTTAACCTCTCTGGGTCTCTGTTTCCTCGTGTATAAAATAGATCTGCTCTCACAAACCACAGAGAGGACGGTATTATCACGGTCACTACCAACCCCCCCCCCCCCCCGCCACAGGAGAGAGGGGAAGATGTGACCATGGTGCCCCCTGCTGGCCCCCCACGTCTCACCCTGCTCTCAGGCCCGGATGTCCAGCTCCCGGGACAGCTCAGGAACCACCACTGACGTACAGGATGTCCTTCCCCCGCACCCCGAGCAGCTTGCACACTGCGTCTGACGACCCTGCCCGACCATGGGAGGACAGGCCCACTCACAGCCCTTCCTGTCCTGGTGGGCAGCCTGGGGACATGGGCTCCTAGCTGAGAGGTGGCGCCTGTGGAGCAACGGGGCGGGGAGCCGGTACCTCCAGAGTAGACGGCACAGTGTTGATGGGGCCCCGTGCTGGTGCCCACGCGGAGCTTACCCATGTCCTAGAGGGGGCAGAAGGGGTGCCCTGGCCAGAGAGGGCAGGGGGCTGGGATTGGCAGGGGTAACCGTGGGGTGTGGGAAGAAGGAGGCGGCAGAGGGCCCTGAAGGGGTCCCCTGCTTCCTTGCTTCCGGGGACAGACAGCAGAGCAGCAGCTGCCAAGGGCAGGTCAAGCCTGAGAGGCGGGTTCCCTCACCACAGCGTGGGGCCACGGGTCATGGTGGACGGGCCTCGGCCCCTGCATTACCGTCCTGAGCTGTCTCAGCACCGTTCCCTCCGCAAAGAAGCAGGGCTTCTGCGTGTCCACCACGATCAGGTCGAAGTAGGACCTCCAGAGCCTGCAGGGGGTGGGCAGGTGCAGACACAAGCGCTCAGCCTGGGAATCTGACCCGCCGCGGCTCACAGGTCCTCAGCCAGGTCCCCGCCAGCCCCTGCCCCGCCATACCCGGCCGAATGCCCGCCCGGGCTCCGCCACGCTCTGGACTGGTGAAAGCTCGCCAGCCCTCGCATCTCATGCCCACCCACGTGCCCTGGCCCTGGCCCTCAGCAGGACTGAGACGTCCCGGGGGCAGGACCCCGGCAGTCTGGCCACGCAGCCATGCTGGCATGGGAGGCTCACAAGCTATAGCAGCGGAGGCCAGCGCTGGATGTCGCGTGCACCGCGTCAGCCTCCAGAGCCCCTCACAGCACAGAGTCAGAGACGCAGGGGCACGGGACAAGAGCACAGTCCCCGAACTGCAGACCCGCTCACCGGCTTGCCTGCCGGGTCCCCGCGGGGTGTGTCACCCCCCCTCCCCCAGGCCTGCTACAGCCTCTTCTCACCCCCTTCCCCACCCACTTCCACCCCATCCAGCCCCTCCCCAGATACCTGATGGCCTCTTCACTGCCTTCTCCAAGGCCGTGAGTGGCCTTCCCCACCCCTCCAGGCTCCTCCTGTGGACTGGCTGAGGTCACTGGTCTCCCACCCACCGGGGAAGTTCCCACAGGCTCACCCACGTGAAACGACCCCCACACACACTTGCTTCTTCTTCCAGCGGGGGGCTGGCCATGGGAAGGGCCCCAGCAAGGTGGCCCAGCCCGGCCCTGCCTGCCCTTGACGCAGCCTCCCCCAGCCAGGCGCGTGGCCCTCACCTCACCAGCGCCAAACAGGTAGCTCCGGATGGCCTGGCGGGGACAGGGCAGGGGTCAGGGCACCCAGCTGAGATGGGCCAGGGGCCACTACCTGCCATTGCCCTCACCCCACAGGCCGCGCTGGAGCGAGATGGTGGGAAAATTGCTTCTTCCACCGAGATCTAAAAAGGCCAAGAAATGGAACCCAAGATGCCAACCAGGCAGTGGGCGGAGCAGGGTCTTGGCTGCTGTTTCCTGCAGTGCCTCAGTTTCCCCAGGGCCAAGAAGGAAGCATTTCTCTGGCCCGGAGGCTGAGGGCCTCCCCCGTCACAGGCACACGCACGTCGGTGTAGTTGTAGCAGCCAGTAGCCAGGAACACCTTCCCTACCTCCTTCCTCTTGCCCCGCAGGATGGGGATTCCCGCCTGGATCAGAGAGAAGAGCAGCCTCCAGGGCTGGGGTCTCCCCAAGCTGCCCCAGGAGCCCCTTCCCAGGTCTCAGCCCCATGGGCAGGGGGCCCCAGGCCAGGCAGGAGGGCGGGGCGCAAGGCCGGGGTGCACAGCTCTGTCCAGATCTCGAGGGGAGGCCAGAGAAGGGGGAGCAGCCCCAGTGCCCTGGGGAGGAGGGGGACAAAGGGACAGGCTTGGTCATGACCCTGGTCTATAGCCACTCGCATCCTTCTCCACGTATTTCTCCAAGTCTTCTGCGGTCCTCTCCTTGAGACAGCCCCGCGGGAGGGAGCAGAGCTGTGAATGTGTGTGCGTGCGTGCGCGCGCGCACACGTGCCTACACATGCCTGCATCCAAGATGAGGGAGCCCAGACCACCAGCCTCCACGGGAAGAACACCAGCCTCCACGGGAAGAAGAGTGAAACCTTATGGGGTCTGGGGGCCTGGGCCACTCACCGAATGGTGGATGTTATCCATGGCATCCGTCACATCCTGGAAGACATGAAGAGGTTTCCATGCTGATAACCGGTGTCACAGCTGGGTCAGGCCAAGAGCGAGGCTGATAAGGGGCCCTGATGTGACCACCAACCCTGGAGCCCTACCAGGGGGACCCCTCCATCCACAGTGGGCCCGACACTGGGCTCATGTCCCAAACCTCCTGGCACGGGTGTCACCCTACACTGAGGGTGACCCCGTGGGGGCATCAGTTACAAGGTTGGGGGCCCCTACATCCAAGGCCTTCCCGCTGAGCTCCTGGAGCCCCTCAAACCCCTCAGGAGGAGCCTCTGCCCTCTGGCGGGGCCCCCATTTCCGGGCTTGGCCCCTAAGCTGCGCGGTGTCCTGCTGGTCACCCAGGGCTGCAGTGGGGAGGGGTACGGAGCTCACTGGATGTAGCGGGAGCAGCCAGAGAAGAAGCCCACCAGGCAGACGTAGAGACAGGTTTCTAGGGCAGAGGGAGGCTGGTCGGTCGCTGGCCCGAGGAGCCAGGCAGCAGCCCACCAGGCCAGAGCCAGGACCAAAGGATCACCTCCCCCAACCCCCATCAGCCCTCACCAGGCAGGTTGAAGAGCGTGATGAGGGTGTGGGACCGCTGCAGCTCATCCCTCTGAATGAACTTACTGGGGTAGAAACTACAGATCTCGGCCCCAGGGAAGGGGAGGGCTGGGTGCCGCGATGCCCCTCCCCAGTGCCTCCCACTCTTTCCCGCCTCTACCCATCCTTCTCTCCCTCCTTATCCAGCTGGCATTGCCGAGCCCCTGCGGTGTGCCTGAGTCACCCCCCGCCACTGTCTTTCCTCCAGCATCCTCGCCCCCCACCCCGTTCCTTACTCCGGGAGGAAGGAGAAGCCGTGGGTGCCCAGCAGCCCATTCCCGCGGGCGTCCACCTTCAGCAGGTTTCCACAGGGCGCGTCAAACAGCAGCCCCCCGGGAGAGGGCACAGAGGTTGTGGATGAGGCACCAGGGCCAGTGAGTGGGCCCAGCCTCCCGCCCCGCGGGCTCCCGCACCTGGTGGGGAAGGCAGGGTCGTAGGTGCAGTGCAGGATCTCGTGTGGGTACCCGAAGCACACCAGGTGCTCCAGCAGCAACTCGAAGGCCAGCGTCTCATAGGCCGGGGACTTGTAGGCTGTGGGCCAAGCAGACCCAGGCCGGTTGGTGCCCACCCCCTGCTCCCAGCCCCAAATTCCCCTCACTCCCCTCCCCCTCCCAGCCAGAGTGCAGTCCATGTCGAAGCCAAGGCAGCAAATCTTCCCCAGCTCCAGGCTGCGGTTGACAAAAATCCTGGAAGGGGAAGGACACTTCCCAGACTCCAAGACCCGGGGCCTCACGTGTGTCTGGGCACATGCGTGTGAGCGCATGTGCGAGCGTGTGCAGGGCTCCGTCTCAACGTGGGAGTGTGCTGGGGGCATCCCCGTGAGCGAGGATGCGCCGTTGTGTCTTTCCTGAGCGGGGTCACTGTGTCCAAGTTCAGAGAGGACGCGTTTGTCACAGGTGGACAGCACATGTCCCCACGTCGGCGTGCGTGGGGGGAGAGCACCTCCCTCCCTGCCAAGTGTACACTGTCAGGTTTCCCTCTGACGGGTCACTGCCCACCTACAGAAAGATGTCCCCTTGTGAGTGCAGGGGCTTGTCTGTGTTCTGAGTGTCACCATCCCTGTGTATGGGCTGCTGTGTTGTGTGGGATATGTCAGGAAATGGGGTGTTTGTAAGATCCCCCCGACCTCCATCCCAAATGCCCATCTCACCGCTGGTGCCAATCCTACCCCAGGGCCTGTGTCTCCCCTCTGGGCCCCCCAGGCTCTCCCCCGTCCACACAGGCCATCGCTGCCAGGAGTGAGGAGACAGTGGCCCCCTCCCCAGCTACCTGCCCGCTAGCAGTGAGGCCCAGCAGCTCCCGTCTCCCTCAAACACTTCAGACACCGCTGCCGCCACCCTGGGCCCCCATCTCCTCCTTTGAGGGAGAAGAAAGCCAGGACAGTCTCTGGCATCCCCTCTCTTCTCTAAGAGAGAAAATAGTAATGATCAAGGAAGAAGAATTCATCTATATTATGCCACCTCCACTTCCAGGGCTTGTGCACCCAAAGACCTCAACCACCTAGAATGTAGCCGAGAATACAGAGTGAAGCAAACATGGCGTTTACAAAAGCAGAAGACTCGTGTGCTTTAAAAATAAGAGTGTCGGGACTTCCCTCGTGGTCCAGTGGCTAGCACTCCGTGCTTCCAATGCAGCGGGCCTGGGTTCAATCCCTGGTCGGGGAACTAGATCCCACATGATGCATCTAAAGATCCTGCATGCCGCAGTTGAAGATCCCACACGCGGCAACGAGGATCCTGCGTGCCGCAACTAAGACCGGCACGGCCAAATAAATAAATAAATACTTAAGAAAGAAAAAAAAACATATGTCCACTCAAAATAGATCTTAAAGGACACAGCAGTACATTGGTAGCTGTTAATAGAGCAGGGCTAGCTCTGTCTATATAAGTAGACAAATGGGCCTAGTCACAGAAGTTCAAACTATCTGGTTATCTCATGTATTAACACAAACTGGGTCTCAGTTCCAGTTGTATTTAATGTTTTATGATCTCCTAGACTTTCCAGTCCAGGCACTTTTTGACAAAACTTTGTCCTCATTTGAGGGGTTTTTGTTGTCGGGTTTTTATGTTTGTTTTTGTGGGTATTTGCCTCATTCCATCCCTGAGCTTTGCAGCTAGACAGATGTGATTCAAAACTATGTTCTAAGGTGTTTCCTGTAGTGGAGTAATTGGTTTGCAATAGTCAGTCATGCTTTTCCACTAAAAGGGGACGGAGGGGTGGTAAGCCACGAGATAAGCTAAAGTTAAATTGTTAGAAAAATTCCTTGATAGGAAATTATAGCTTTGCGTTTTGTTGCTCTATTTCCTGAAAATAACTTGGAGATGCCCTTGATTTGTCCATCTACTGCTTTGATTCCTTGGATACCACTCATTCTTTCACGTTAAGCAAAAACAAGTAATTGTTGCAGAGGTCTCTGTATTTTGCAGCTGCCCTTTTGTAAGACGCACTTTTCCCAAATAAAACAATTTTAAAAACCCATAAAAAAAAATATGTCCCCTCAAAAACCTGTACTTGAATGTTTAAAAAAATAAAATAAGGGTGTCTAGGGACTTCCCTGGTGGCACAGTGGTTAAGAATCTGCCTGCCAAGGCAGAGGACACGTGTTCAAGCCCTGGTCCGGAAAGATCCCACATGCCATGGAGCAACTAAGCCTAAGCGCCACAACTACTGAAGCCCCCACGCCCTAGAGCCCGCACGCCGCAACTACCGAGGCCGCGTGCCACAACTACTGAAGCCCGTGCGCCTAGAGCCCATGCTCCACAACAAGAGAAGCGACCACAATGAGAAGCCCGCGCACCGCGAAGCCCGCGCACCGCAACGAAGAGTAGCCCCCGCTCGCCACGAGAGAAAGCCCATGCACAGCAACAAAGACCCAACGCGGCCAAAAAATAAATAAAATTAATTAATTTTTAAAATAAAAATAATAAAACTGCCTAATAAAGAAAGAAAGAACTTAAGATTCTTGCTTTACACACAATTCTAACACACTTGGTTATCAATCTTCCCAGCCCAAGGCCATTTAAAGAAGTAATTGCTAGAAGCATACCAGGAGCTATAAGAAGTGGCAGATGGCTAGAATCTCAGAATCAGAAAAAAAAAAGTACAAAAGTGAGTATCAAAAAGCAGAGCAATTGGGACCATTTAGTGTAGAGCTGGAAATAGTCCCTAAGGGTCCACAATTGCTGGTTTTGCAACAAAGCACAACGACTTCCATTCAGAGTTTTGACCTGATCATCCAGAAAGACTTATAGGATGTGGCATGTCCTCTTTTAAAAAGGAAGGCCAGTTTATGATACATTTTTGAAAATTTTCTCTACAAAATGGCCAAACTTAATGAAGTTAGGCACTTTTGAAGGGATAAAAATTATCTGGGGGAGAAAAATGTATTTCAGTGAAATAGTTCCTTCCTTGGTAATTCCAGATGAGCAACTGTTAGGATGGTGAGGCAAGAGTATGGAGGCTGCAGGAGGTACATTACCTCATTGGATGGATAGTTGGATGGATGAATCGGTGGATGGATGGATGGATTCGTGGATAGATGGATGGATGGATGGATGGAAGGACAGTTGGATGGACAGACCTATGGACTATATATGGTAGCCTTTATTAAGGGTATCAGAGGAGAATCAAGCTTCAGAAATCAGTAGGATTTCCCAAGTCCCTTTCACCCATTCTGTGCTCTCTGCTCATCTCAGGGAGACCTTTTTAAAAGTGCATAGTTCCTCTCTGGGTCAGAAACAGAAGGAGGAATACCCGGTTATGGGAAGTCACCAGAAATTTCCTCAGCCCTCCCACTGGGTGTTAACATGGTGAGTGTGCAAAAATGTATCCTGCTTTTCCCATAGCTGAACTTGGGGGTCTATCCCAAGATTCCCTTCCACCTGAGGATAAGGAAGTCACCCAGTGACATTCACATACACTCCGTCACATCAGTGGTTTCTCAGGCCACCTCTCCAGGTACACTCCCAGCCCTCTCCTGGGCTTGACTGAACAGAGTGGGGTTTATAATCAGCCATGCTGGGAGCTGGGAGCTGGTAGTTGCCCATCACTTCTTGGTGGGGCCTCATGTGACTTGCACTGGCACAGCTGGGGAACCAGCACATCCCCACACTGCTGTGTGCTAAGGTGGCCACATCCCCAGTGGATCTTCAGCTGGCCAGTCTGTAGTGCCATTCCAGGATGTGGCCACCTGTCCAGACCCCAGTGCCCCTTAGCTGACTGCAGGTCCAGCTGGGGAGGACCACAGGCTGTCACAGGGCCCTCTTGGCCTGTCCCCTGTGCCACTGGCACCCTTGTGGGACTTGGTACATTTCAGAGCCCCTTCCAGAAGAGGAGATTTGTTACAGTAACAACAAGTGAATCCTTGCATTGCTTTGACTGTGTGCCAGACCTCGTTAACAACCCTACAGGGTAGGCCTTCCATTACTCTGAATTTACAGATGGCAAAACTGAGGCACCAAAGTCCTAAGCATCTCGCCCACCATTACAAAGCAAGATGGCACAGCGGACTTGAGCCCAGAGCCCAGGCGCCAACATCTGTGCTGTCGACCCCTGGGTGAAACCGCCTCTGCCCAGGAGCCCTCACAAAACTCCTGGACTTTTCAACAGCATGAAAGACAAAGAAAGGCCAAGGGAATGTTCCAGATTAATGGAGGAGGCTAAAGAGACAACTGAATGCGGTATCTGCTCTCAGATATTGAATCAGGGAAGAGGATTTAACCCAAGGACCTCATTAGGTCAACAAATAAGACTAGACAATCAACAACTGCTAAAATTACTAGCTCAGTGTCAGTCTGTGAAGTTGGTACCGTAAGAAAAGTCTCTATTCTCGGAAAATACTGAAGTATTTAGGGTAAAAGGGTAACTTACCTTCAAATGGTTCAGGGAAAAAATTATGCATATACAGACATCCGTGTGTGTGTGTGTGTGTGTGTGTACATGCTTGGGGAGACAAATGATAAAGCAAATGGAGTAAAATGTTAACAATCGGTAAGTCTTGGCAAAAGGTATAAAGATGTCCTTTGAACTATGTCTTATGTTTACAACTTTTCATAAACTTGGAATTATTTCCAAATTTAAAAAATATCTTTTTTAAATAAGGAGTCCCAAGGTCCCCATGAGGCCTTAAGAGCCACTGCCAGGGACAGGTCCCTCCCCCCGCCCCTGACAGAGACCCACACCTGCCCTTGCTGCGACCTGGAGAACCCGGAGGGGGGCTAGGCAGGATGAGCACAGGCCACAGCAGAGGGTCCCGGGGCAAAGGGAAGCTGCGCGGGAGTCAGGATGGAGCATATTTCAGTATTATGTGCAGTACTTTCCTGCACATAAATCGATCTAGTCAGACACCACGCGTTCCTTAGGTATGCGCTTCATGCCAAGCTTATGCTAGAAGCTGGGTTTAAAACTATGAGGAAGTGTTACCTGCCCTTAAGTAGCTGACAGTCCAAGAAAGGAGACAGACAACATGCATTAGTGGGAAACAGTGAAATGAGAAAGCTGTGCCCTTAGAACCCGGGGAGGTCAGGGAAGGCTTCCTGGAGGAGGAATCAGCCATGCAAGGGCTGCCCCCAACGGTGCTGAGCGGCAGCCTGGTGAGCCTGTGGGAGTCACAGACATGCTTGGTTGCGGTGGGGAGTTGGGGTGTCAGCTGGGGTGCACTGTGGCCGGCCTTCCAGGCCACACTGACAGGCGGAGACTTTCTCTTGGAGGTGATGAGAGTGAAGGAATGTAAGAGAAGAGTGACCCGGTCCCGTGTGCCCAGGGGTGGATCTCCGTGGCTCAGGGTGGAGGAGGACCACGTGAGAGGGCTCGGCC